TCTAATTATTTACACACAAAAAAATGAAAAAGATTGCATAAAATGTTTGAAATGTTTATATGATTGTGTTCTCATAGTTGTGAAAGCACTCGGCCTCTAATTCTCTCACAATCACATCACAAAATGTCACTTAAGTACCTGTCAATCATCGATCCGAAGGACTGAAGCCCTAAAACGCCGAAACGAGCTTTCGAGGCGATCCCTTTAACGGTTCGTCGGCTTGAAATAAAACCACGACCAGCACACTCAACACTCAACGCATTACGACAAAAACATCCCTCAGGACTTTCCCTTGATGTACACGAAGGGGCAAAAGCTCAAGAATAATTTGTCATTTGGTTAAATCAATTATTACACAAATACTCATATGTAAACATCTTTGAATACGTTGGCTATTCAACATATGAATATGTATATGAACCATGGTTAATGATCAAGTGGGCAACAACCCTTAAAGGTGACACAAAGCCAACACAATGACATTAAAATCGATGCAGTCGTTGTTTCATGCTTCGATGCATACAATGTAATACTTCGTTTATATATTGTATTTTGGTTTTGAAATTTGCGCTTATACCTTAATGCCGTTGTGTATTTATGTTGGCAGGCGACTCTGATATTATTTCGAGCTTTGTGCGTGGAAACAAAGTGAATCAAAGCGGCAAAGAGAGTCAATAAGGGCGGTAATCAAGTTGAAATCGACTCGGCGCATGCATGTGACATTTAATTGCGTCTTTGCGAACGATACCCACTGGAAAACTCATCAGTGCGCAACAAACTCGACTTGAAATTGATTTTAACCAGACAAAAAGGTTATAAATATAAAAGTGCAAAGGAAGTGATGATATTGAAGCCTTTGGAGAAACAATTAAGTGTTTTACTAAGAATTTATATTCATTTTTTTTATTGAAAACCGACAAAAAATTAAATTTTTAGCGTTTTAGAAAAATTTCTTACGTTTTTTAAATTAGTAATGTAGTATTAAACTTAATTAACTTATCCTAATTAGTAATTTTAAAGTGGGGACCTAAAAGATATTATTCTAAACCCAATTAAAATTTATAATAAGTAACATCTTGTATATTCTTTCCTTGTAATTAATATGTAAATATGTTGTTTCAAACTTTTTTCTTCTTTCAACAAGAAGTTTAAAGTTCAAGCTAATTACACTAATAGACCGCAGAAATTGCCGACAATTAAACTGTGCGCTGGTCGGCTCGCGCGTTCTCTCGGGAAATCTCCATCGATTTCCGCAAGCTTTTAAGTGTGTAAACCCAGCCGACCGCACGATATGCCTCATGAAGTAGGAAGTAATTTCTACTCGAGACACATAAATGAGCAAGAAATGAGAGCTGTAATGTGATGGATATAAAAACGACCAATAAGCAGATCTAATAAAAAAGCAACCAAATGTGCACTTTACGTAAATGCGTAAAATTTGTTAAGTATAATATAATGTTATTAGTTAATTTTATATTAACCTTTCCCATTTATTTAATGTTTAGATTAGTTTTAGATTCATTCTACCACGCAATCTAATTTATTGCATGTGCTCGACTTTCCGTGGCATGTCGCGTCGTGCAATAATAATTCGATTAGATGAGATATATTAAGACAACGACCTTTGGCGCACACGACGGGAAACTAGGTCAGCATGAAGTTTCCCCTTTTCATCGATAACTATTTTGTCAGTTGCGTGTAGGTATCGCAATTTCTCTCAGAAAATATTTTAACTTTACGAAAAAAATTGTAAATTATTTAACATTTTGACAAACACAAAATGTGTTCGATTTTCAACAGGGTAGGAAACACATACTAACATTAAACATTTAATTTTTGTGTGAAAACATGCTTCCGCAGACTTGAACGCAAATTGGTAAACAAACTCACAATGCTTGCTTTCACCATTTCGGCCCTTACAACCTTTCATATTAAGGTCTACGTAAACATAGCTAGCAATAATGTTTCACGAGGCGAACACTTCATGTTGTGTTATTAAGGACTCAGTAATGAACGACACATAATCATAACACGTTGTATGCATTGCAACGTGTTAGATTACATAATATATAATTAAACTGTGTATTATACTGGTATGTATAAATGTTATTTTATAAAATGAAAAATAGTAAATATGTGAATTGTCGGTATTTTTCATTGACATGAGATGTATTCGTCGGAACCCTTTGTCATCCTTTAACCTGTTTGCCGACAAACATGGGAACCAAAAGTTAAGTAATAAAATTGCCCTGTTGGTTGCTCTTCAACTCTTCAGAAGCCATTTGTCAAATGCAATTCAGCTCGGATGGCTTTCTTTACTTTCTGTACATTTGATATTATCTGTTTTCATCTCTGGTCTCGTGTTGTTAGTAGAATAATTGTGCAGTTTTTATTGTGTAATCTCAATAGTAGAAAGGTTTTTACTGGGTGCGAAACGCCGACGCACTTGAAAATTCTTTAATGCAAAAATTTTCTATAAAAATTAAGCAAACTATAATTTTTTTGTCATTAAAGTGTATATTATATAGAAAAGCGCACATTTTTAACATTTTTATCCATCGCAATGTAGGCTGTATGTAGGAAAATAGCTAATAGACTCTAATCCATAACTTTACTAATTAAATTAGTGTTTGATAATAATATTCCTAGGTATTATAAATTCACCTTTCTAATGCCTTGTATAAGTAGCTTACCTACATTTCTCCTATATTAAGAACTTATTCTAGTCAACAACAACAAATGAGTACTCCAAAGTTTGGTGGGAAATTTCTACGATCAGGATTACTCCAGCCAAACTATTGATATATTTGCATACTATTCACCTACGCATTTCTATATTTAACAAGCTAGGGAAAATCTATATTCATTCATTCCAAACAAAAATCAAAAATTTCATTTTTCCAGAAGCAAACACATTTTAAATCACAATTTAAAGCATAAATTTTCTTGCCTGCACTTGTCTACACAATACTCCAGTTTCTTGCATTCTTTGAAGTCGGTAGAGTACCAGACTTACGGAAAGAAAGTACTCGTACCAACCATACTCAGTTGTACTTCCTAATAATACTAATAATTCGAAATACTTGACTTGCCCCATTATTATCCCCTCGGTTCGTTCGAAACTCACGCAGTGAATTCATCGCTACAACATTGTTCGACCTTTTAACATTTTAACAAATCGCTCGTTTGCACGTTTTTTTCTTTAATTTTACAGCAAGTGTGAATGAAGTACAAATCGTGAATGAAACACCGATTTCAATACGTTGACTCTGGTCAAGTCAACGTCGTGATTGTTGAATGTGAACATATGAATGAGAAGCGCGCACAAAGAAGCCTAAAAAGTATTTAAGAAATCCGTGAAGATGAATGAAACCAAACCGAATCGAAAAGCTCGGACGATTTAAGCGTAGGGGATATATTACTACGACTTCGTGCCACAATCGACGCATCTTCTCGTCTACCTGTGCCGCTTTGTACGCGGCGAGATGAATGAATGACACCTTTTAGATCTCATTTGGTTACACCTACAAGCACCTACAACCCTCGGGTGAATGAAGGTGGAATACAAGTGCATTGGATGACAATAAATTCTCATTGTGTTCGTGCATGTCAAAGCTCGCACCGAACACGGAAAATGCGTTCGCATTCATTCGGTCATTCGGAGCTTCATTCATTCTCTGCCAGCACAATTAAGTTCGAGTCGTACAAATAGCTTTTAAATGCTTTTTGGGAATCGTAGAATCTGGCTAGACTTTGTGTCTGTGTGAAGAGTGCTTGTGGCAGACATTTCGGCGTCGTTTATTCTTTATTCAGCCTATAAAAATACCAAACGATTTCTCAAAAAAGTATCAAACAAGTTTTTCTACAATATAAGTTATTTTTAGAATAATTTAATTGCTATGTAAAGCAACTGTTAGGTAAATTAAAAACACTCACATGTTCAAATGAGCTATTTTTATTGATTGTTGGGTTTGTTCAGAGTAAATATTCAATATGCATTGGGGTAAAATATCTAAGATGAGTCGATAACCACTAAACAGTTGTTCAAATTGTAGCAGCACTTAACCACCCATCAAAAATTGAAGATGATTGACACGATGACAGGATGTGACATGAAAAACCACATGAAGAACTATTCAATATGTAGTATTTGTATTATATTCAGGTACTCAAAATTAATTCAATAAAATAAAGGATCTATAAATTATAATATATATTTTTTGAAAAATAAGTAGCAAAATCTAACACAAAATTTTTGCTTCTTTTTCCCGGATATAAAAGTTTTTTACCACGTTCGTACCTACTTAGATAGATACCTAGATACATACTTAGATATTAACCAATTGATACCTACAATATAAAATTTGGTGCCAAAAAAGACAAGAATATAAATTGTTTTATTCAATTTTACTTATTTTATCAACGCTTATCGCGTTCTAGATATTTTTTCTCTAGCTCTGGATATTTATTCGCATTTTGGTGGCGAGTGTTGGCACTTTTCCCTCGCATCGCTCGCGTCCCCTGAGTTGGTTAAGTAACTTGGGAAGTAACGTGAAAAGTTTTATTTTATTCGAATTTTATGAAGTGGCGCCCTTCGGGCACGGCACGATGAAGAAAAGGAATGGGATGAAAATTGGGTGCGTTCTTCTCGTTCACATGTGAAAAACACACAAGGATAAATCACTCGGAAAGTCACATAGTGGAAAAAGTACAACCTTGACCAAAAATTGAATTCAAGTAAAACGGGTAGTAAAATCGTTTGCAAAGTTTTATGGAAATCTGCGAAAACTGTTAAAGCACTATTTTTTCTTGTATTCAAAAAAATGTAATAAAAAAAATGTATTTTTATAATCAAATATTTATTTAATAATTATTAAGCTTTGGTATCAAAATATATACATACAATATTTTCAATTTCATCACGCAAAATTTACAAATTTAAAGATATTTATACCTACATAAATATACATATTTTGTTTTTCTAAGTAGCTATTAATGTTTTAAAAAACATTATTTTCGTTGTGTTCATGATCATCCAGATTGGTGACATCAATATGATCTTCGTCTCCATCACAAGAAGACGAAGTACTATTTTTCGGCTTCCTGGACGAGGAACACGTCCTCAAACAACAACACTTATTCGGCGACTGACCACTGCTTCCATTTGCAGCCGGGAGATCCTCTTTCTTGTACTTGACGCGACGGTTCTGGAACCAAATCTTCACTTGCTTTTCCGAAAGTCGCAAACACGTAGCGATTTCGATCCGTCGGAGACGAGACAAGTACATATTCGCAGAAAACTCTCTTTCCAACTCCAGGAGTTGTTTAGAGGTAAACGCAGTGCGGATTCTTTTAGAAGAATCTTTATCATCAGCCGTTGATGATGTTTTAGAAGGCGGAGGTGATGGTGGTGTTGGAGTAGATTCCCTACTAGTCAGCGGAGGTGATGGCATTGCATGACCTCGTGGACTATTCTGTGGACTGCTAGACGGACTATGCAATCCAATTTGACTATCAAAACTTAGTCTAGGATTCTTGGTGTTGATCATAGTCATATGATGATTATCATCAAACATAGGTGACGAAGCTGGGCGTTTCAACGAGTTGAAGTTTCTTGTATGTTGAGGTGCTGCTTGTGAAGGCATCATTGGTAAGTTGGGTAGTGAAGGCACTGGTCGGATGGGTTGTTTCAACATTCCTCCAAATTGATGCGCTTGAGCTTGTTGTTGAGCCAAACTCAAGGAAAACAAATAAGAACTGATGTAACTCGGGGGATATGGCAACATTGGTCGTGGATCACCCAGAGGTGATGGCATGATGTATTCCTTAGGCGGATTGTTGATCAATGAATCGACGAAGAACGAACGCGACATGTTCATTGTTTAACACAACACAATTTTCACTCTTGTATGATTTCTATGTTAACAGTTTAAAGTATCTGGTATGACTGACTTGCAAAAAGTGTAGGTACCCTTTATATATCCCTGGTTTTAAAATGGTAGGGATAGTTTAGGGGTGCCTATGGGGTGTATCCTCCACTTACCAAACTCCACCTTCTTTTATACCCTAATTGTACCCACCAAGTTGGTTCTCTTTCATCTTTTGTCGCCTAAGTATGGTTTTTTGTTCGATCACCGAGCAACCGACAACCCTCGGGATGCGGGGTTGGTGGATCTGAATGATATAGTGCTCGGCAAACATTGGCCTCTTCCTCAAACAAAACTACCCCAAAAACTAACGCGCAGCAAACGTATTTGTCGATCGTTTCGCTACTCCTCATACTTATTTTCGTAGTGGGTTTAGTTGCGTGCACAATGAGCGTACAATGAATGAATTGATGAATGAACAAGGAGCAAAGAGTGTGTGATACTGTATGCGATACCAGACGGTTGAATGGTTTCTGATGGGTCGCATTTATTGCTCTTAATTGGGTGGTGTTTGCTTAAGGATTTTAAAAACGACGAGCAGTTTTAATCTTGGTCTCTTGGTCATAATTTAAAAGATTAACAACAGTAAAATTTGAGTCCTCTTTAAAAACATATTGTTGTAACTAACTCTATAAAATATTTTTCATTGTACAGGTGAAAAATAAATTTTATATAAAATCTCGTTATAATTGGTTTGTTATGTGTCAGTTTACAAACATCCCACTTTTCCGATCCAACTAGATTATCTCGTATCAAAGTACAATTGGCTTGTGCAACGCCAGACCTTGTCATACAAGCCTCTCATATGTAGGTTTACATATAGGTAATCACAATAATAACCAATTGTTACATCAGACGCGAGTTGTGCCCAATTACGAACATTTTGTTCGCACCGGAAAATAGTATCAAAGCAAGTTATCCAACTTTTTCATCTAAACGCACTCAGGCAAATTCAAAAGCGTTTGCAGACTAAAAATAGTAACATAATGAACTTCTGCAATGACCTGCGACTAAACGTCCGACCAATAATAACAAGATACTAGTGAGCCATTAGGTACGACATCCCCTTTTGATGTAACCCTTCCCCAAGTCGGCATGTTCTGCTTGGAGTCTTGGCGAGGGGCAACTTTATGATGATGCGAAATAAAACGTAACGCAACGCATTCGAAATGAAAACATTTAATTGTGAACTGCGAGGCGTATTGTCTGCAATGTCGCTTCTTGTTTCGTTTAGTGTTTTGTTCGATGTCGGCGTTCTGTGGCGGGTGCATCGGGGCAACAATGGCATCATCCTTTAATGCTATTATTGGAGTGAAGTTTTCAGTTTTCAGTTTTGAGTCCGACTGTTGATGGAGTTGAAGAGGTACAATATGTGAAGCTTTTGTAATGTGGTTAACAAACTAATTGAAGCGGCACTTTGAATATTATAAATGAATACAATACAAGATATTAAATAGGTATGGCAAAAACAAGTTAATTAAATTAATAATATTTAAAATTAAGACACAAATTGTTAAAATTGTATTTATGTGCATCAAAAACTTTGATTTGGAAAACATATTTGTTTTGTGAATACTGCCTAGTTCAAATGATAATAAAAAAAAGTAACTGGGGAATTAGCCAGTGAATGGAAAATTATTCACGTTGACGTTTCACATTTTATATATTTTTTTTACAATTGACTAAATTTGACTAAAATATTCCAAATACCTACATACCTATCTAAGTAAGTAAGATATTAAGTAAGTAGGATTAATAAATATTTTAGTATAAGCAAAATTGGATATTTTTGACGATTTGCCAATTGATACCAATTCAATTTCACATTTAGTGCATTTTTGAGATTTTTAGAAATTATTAAAAGTTAAATATTGCATCAGCTACTCGAATGTACCTACTTACCTATCTATTTTCTTCTGTTTGATCTTGATTATTATGCTAATAATTAATATGTTTTCATTTGAATAAATTGTTTATGACGTCAATATTTAAAATTATTAGTAAGTACTTCTATCTATATGTAATAACTATTGAACAGCGCCCCAAATATATAAAAAGATAAAACAAAACATCAATAACACGCTTTTCGCGTCGAACGGTTTACCTACATTTAAGCCTAACTTTAGAGACTTTGGAATAAACGTTATACTAGAACATGTTCTTGTGTTGTACGTTACTTGTTTTTATTCTTGTTGTATTTATACCAGCACTTACCAAAGGTAGGTTTATTATTTTCTTTTATATTTATTTACTACAATACTTCTTTTTTTTTGTAATGAAGAACCCGAAAAAGAGAAAATAATTTGTGCCCGGGCTAATTCACTGTTTTGGGATGGTTCCTTGGGCATTTGCTGTCTGGCATGTAAAAACAATAATAGATATTATGAACCCAGTTGTCCCTTGCAGTGACATAATAATAATATACCTAGATTAGAAAAATTATTGTGATAGAATTATTTTATTTAATAATTCAAGAAATACCGTTTTGTGCTATTTCCGATTGGAATACTAATAACTTTTTTACTAATACTTTTTTATTAAAATAAAATGTAAAATATTATAATAGTGTGAATTGATTTCACGAATTTAAAACAAAATAACTCGCAGCGATTTGTTTAAAACGAAATAAAATTCAATTCCAAGGTTTGGTTAATAACATTACGCTACCTCGTACAATTCGCAACGCTGGTGAAATCCATTTAATTCTGACAAATTGCAAGCGTATCGAATTAGAACCGTGTTATCCATTTCATTATGTCATTGCTGCAGTCACCCGGTCCTTCATTCTTCCACAACAAACCAAACACTACCCGAAACGTACGAAAGTGAATGAAAAACATGCAATGAAAGTGATAACCGCGATGAATTGCACTTTTATCTAGTTTCTTTCATTCGCCCGCCGCAAATTACATCAACCCGAGTCGTTTTCAAGTGCGACGGCAGCGGCAGATGACACTCGTCCACTCGAAACTTTATTGTCATGATAATTCCGCAGCCACGACGGGCCGCAATCCAATCGTCGAAATTAACCATATTGAAATTCCCGGCGTGCGTTCTGCACCCTCGCAGTGTGAGTGGGTGAAGTATTTCTGGGCGATTCAATGCATCGCTGGCTGGATGCCTCATCGTGACGAATAGCGGCTGTAAATCAAATTGATCGAAATTTGTTTTGACTGAAATTACATTATTTGTGCATAAACACGAGTACGTTTCGCGCGCAATACTTATTATTATTATACTTGGATTTCCATTCTCGGCTTAGGTGAATTTCTAATTTTCTCGTGCAAATGTCATCTCTATGAATAGAAGCGTGAATAAATTTGTACAGAATATGGAATGTGTGATTTGCTACAGTTCTATTCGTTTTCCAATTTCTCAATTAGAGAGTTATGAACCTACAGCAATTTATTTGAAGGTGTTCTATATAAATTCTATTTTATGTTAAAAATTATGTTTCTTATGTAATAACAATTCAAATATTTTCTAGTTATGAGAATAAAATCAAGCATAACTAAATAACGGCTTAAACTGTCATAACACCCCCTCACGAGGCACTCAAAGCCATTTAACACATCTATTGATACAAGTTTTTGCTTGTAACTTCCTGATGTGGTTCATCTTCAGAGGGTGGCTAAACAAACGCCTAATAAACGCCTAATTGTAAGCTGCGTGCGGCGCACTGGAAAACCGCCACAAGCCGGCACGCGACTTCATTTCCTGTTCACCGCCCGCGCACGCTCATCATTCTCTGTAATGTTGCGCCTCGTGCTTGCAATTCGTCACATCGTTCCGAAAAGTCACTGTGCGTTCACCACCGCGTCGCGTTATTTTATTATTAACGCCCGATGCAACCAATGCGTGCAGTTTTATGTGCAATGGTGCAATTAAGTGCTTCACATGAATTTTCAACACTCCAAACACGTGTCAAGTATAAATTGTCTTTTGAATGGATAAGTGTTGAAGAGTTTAATCGAAAATTGTTAGTTATTGCGTTTTGATACGTCAATAAATCGTGGGAATAAATTAAAACTTGTAATTTTTCGCAAAATTTAATGAAATATTTAAAATTATATATTTCTAAGTACACCAAAATAAAATAACTCTAATAAATCCTGCTTTTGTCTAGTGCTTAATAAAATAATCCGATAATTACGCACATATTATGAGAGCATAAAAGGGCGCTTATTTTTCCAAAAATCTGGAATATTATTGAACCCTATTAATTCAATATCCATTTGAGCGATTAATCTTAATCTAATGTGACATCGTGCGCGTGTTGACACACAAAACCTTTCAGTACCATGGCTGAAAATGCCGAAATAGGTAAAAACCGACGCAATGCAACGCGATGGAAACTCAAATCGGATTAAAATCAAACAATGAACGGCGCATTATGCCCACAACTTCGGTGATGTCGAACGCTTGCAGCAATGAAGGCTTTTCATATTTTTGATCAAAAATGACATCCAAGCGTAAATCTACGTGAATATATTTGGATTTGCGAGCAATTTCGGAGAAAATTACCCTATTTCTAAGCGGATTATAACCTACCCCAATATTTGTTTACATGGTGTGCAGAGCGGATTGAATTTCTGATAATAATTATTGATAAATATTGATTGATATAGTTTTGGCCCTTTTGATGTATTTGCTAAACATTTTTAAGTAATTACTTAGATCTGAATGTTTTTTGTGTACCTACATTTTCATTTGCAGATGCTGAATAGACAGTATTTGCTTCTCTTCACTTTGCAAATTAGCTCCCGCTTTTGGTTGCACGTACGAAATGGTTCACGTTAATATGCCCAAAATTCACTGCACCTCCAAAAACGAGTGATTATATCCTCCCTGGAAAATCGCTTAACAAGCCAATAAAAGAGCATCCATTCACCGATGGCGGCATTGTTCGGTTCGTGCGCTGCGCAAACAGGGAACCGCTAAAACTGACCGTTGTGTGCTTTTGGGGCAAAAAAGGGAAAAGAACGGGAAACCAAACGCGCACCTGGCACTCAACGTATCGATGCTCGTTCGAGTCATCCACGCGTATAATTAGCAGAAAATTGTGCGCGAAGCACGCACGAGAAATGCGTAAAAAGGTAATAAAATAAAATATGATGCGCAAGACACCAAAGCCCACCAAGGGCGCCGCACACTCGAGGGCCCATTGTCGGTGAATCGGTATTGATACGTTCGTGAGGCAATGTTGTGGAATCGTCGAATTAGTATCTAAGCGAATTATACGCGCCGCACTCGAATACAAATAATGCGAGAAGTATGGATTACACAATTCGATGAGTGTCTAAAACGCCTAAAACTGACTACCACCCTAGCATACCAACTCCAGAATAAGAACTGACTCCAAAAGAATCCCGCTTCTATTTCTTTCTAATATTGAATCAATTGTAGGAATGGGCATCTCTTCAAGGTGGTCACGAGTGGGTCACACAAATTGAACAACAGATACTCGCATGAATGAAATGTTTGAATGGAGGAGCGACACCAAACAGATTGTGATGCCGCCACGTAGTATTTGGATATTTATTTGGTCGTCGATACACAAATAGTTTCCAAGTGGTATATACAGAAGTTTATATTGTGTAGTTTGCTTGCAGTTACAAAACGAGGACCCTCTCAAACGTTGCGTGAGCGCATCGAATCTTTCGAGAAGGCACTTCGAGGGTTGAACTACGCAATGCAATACGCGTTACTAATTTATTATTGTCACATTCGCTATCAAAAGCACGAAAACTAGTGTTTATTGTGGGGAAGCAGCAAGTCCACCGTTAAAGTTACAGCATTAATGTGGATTTTATGTATTTTAAGCTCACTTTACGATCAAAGTCGGAAAGGTTTTTAACTTTTATTAGGTTCATGGCTTGCTATAGTAACAAACACCGTTTGAAACAATAGCAACTCGAAATAAAATACAAACGTCGATCAAACAAATATAATAATAATATAATTCAAATAAAATGACTGAATTTGATGAAACACCTGAACCACCAATAAAACCTCAAGAAAGAAAGAAAAACTACTTCGAAAAATTTTTTTGTGTCGTCAGTTGTACCTTGAACAAGCCGGTGGAGATACTTCACGATACTTTTGTGACACCTGATCGGAAAGAATATGCATGGTATCATCAGAAGTTTCCACGTGTGCCTACAATTGATGAATGCTACGAAGATGATCTAGTATGTTTCTCAGAAGCTAATTATCAATACAAGAGGGATCGCCTTGTTGATTCGGAAATTATTAGAATTTTAAGGCAGCGTTTTGAAAACTGCGTCATGTATGAAACACCTCAGCACTTGGAAAGATGTGATCATCTTTTAAAAGAATACGACGAGGCTAGTACAAACTGGTTCACAAAGTATGGAGATCTTGGTGGGTATCACAATGTTACTAAATGTTATATGAAGCAGAAACATCGATTGCTTTGGGAAAGAAAATATGGGGAAGTCGGTACTGGAATGAATGAAAAGGTAGAAGAGGACATTGAAGATGATGAAAAGAACCAGAAACATGGGTGCTAGAGTGGTGTACAATAAGAAGAATAATAGATGGTAAAATAAAATAATAATGTATGATGCATACGAATAACGACTAATTTGGCTTTGTTTTACGATTTATAAAGTAATTGGACATCTATCCAAGCTTTGCACTGCTGTAATTTACTAATGAAGACGATTAGAGGTGTAATAAGTTTGTGATTGTGTTGAATACGCTGCATATATATACAAATTAAATTCGGATTCAGGATATTTCTACGATTTTAAGGCTAATAAGTGTATGATGGCGCCATCTTGGTTCATTTTAAACAACTAATTCATACACAAACTTTCATCCCTTATTCTTTTCAAATTCTAGGTTTTTCTCTTCAAAAATGTTAATGTTTTATTCATGTAAAGCACCTAGAAAAACTGTACTGATAAGGGAAACCTGAATTAAAACTGCGTGATTTAGAAATTGTCTTACTGTTTTGCTATATATGTACTTTAAAAATTAAAATGTCTGACATGGTTAACATACGACAATTCTTTTAGTCAAAGATTCAAATTTTAAATCATGCAGATGAATCCAAATAAACAAAATATCTTATTTGAATAATTTGTAGGGCTGTACAAATTAGCCGACCAAGCCGGTTAAGGAAGTTAACCAGGCTAATTAGCTGGCTGACTACTCGGCTTAGCCGGTTAACCGAAATTAGCCAGGCTAATCAGCTAAAGGCTAAACCGGCCAATTGGCTAATTTTATATTTTATGCAATATCTTTGTTTCCAAATGCAAGTGATAACAATTCGCCGCGTTATCAATACGTTTGTCGGACTTGGCCCGAACATATATTGTATAAAATATATATAAATATATAAATTAGCCAATTGGCCGGTTTAGCCTTTAGCTGATTAGCCTGGCTAATTTCGGTTAACCGGCTAAGCCGAGTAGTCAGCCAGCTAATTAGCCTGGTTAACTTCCTTAACCGGCTTGGCCGGCTAATTTGTACAGCCCTAATAATTTGTCTTCTTCCATCTGACACGAATTCAAGGTTAGATTATTTAATGGACCGGCGACTTGAACTTTGCTCTCTAACGTTTTTAATACATATTGCCACTACATTTTTATCCCTACGTAGGTCTAGAACGTTCCCACTAGATTCGTGACTTTAATTTCTCTCAGATTGTGTTGTAGCTAATCAAAGAGAATGTCTGACACACAAGGGAAAGTAAGTTGATGTCCATGCATATTTCTGTTATCTCTATAGAAAATTATCTTTGCAGCCAATTTCATGTAAAGCAGCTGTATGCTGGGGCCCCAAGGAAGAACTCAAAATTGAAGATGTTGAAGTTGCTCCACCAAAGGCCCATGAAGTCAGAATAAAGATCATCAACACAGCAGTGTGTCATACTGATGCTTACACTAAAGAGGGCCATGATTCTGAGGGCGTCTTTCCAGTTATTTTGGGTCATGAAGCTGCTGGTATTGTTGAAAGTATTGGTGAAGGTGTAACAAACGTTAAACCAGGTAATTATTCTGTTTAGTACTAGGTTATATATCCATGCACATGAGAGGTAGATGCCTGAAAAGCAATTTGATATATTTCTTACATAAGGAATCATTATAACTTAATAGGTGACAGGGTAATCCCACTATATGTTCCCCAATGCAAAGAATGCAAGTTCTGCAAATCTCCCAAAACCAATCTGTGTCAGAAAATTCGCATTACCCAAGGAAAAGGCGTTATGCCTGATGGTACTACTCGTTTCACATGCAAAGGCAAACCAGTTCACTCCTTTATGGGCTGCTCCACCTTCACCCAATATACAGTGGTTTCTGATATTTCCGTTTGCAAGATCAATGATAAAGCCCCCTTTGAGAAGGTGTGCCTCTTGGGATGTGGTGTGCCCACTGGGTATGGTGCTGCTTTGAATACAGCCAAAGTTGAGAAAGGTTCGACTTGCGCGATTTGGGGTCTTGGAGCGGTCGGTCTTGCAGTGGCTTTGGGATGCAAAGCTGCTGGTGCCAGTCGAATCATCGGCGTTGATCTGAACCCCGCAAAATTCGAAGTCGCCAAAAAGTTCGGCGTGACGGAATTCGTCAATCCCGCAGACCATGAGAAACCAATCCAACAGGTATTGGTCGAATTGACCGACGGTGGCTTAGACTACACATTCGAGTGTGTCGGCAATGTGAAAACAATGCGGGCTGCGTTGGAGGCCTGCCACAAGGGCTGGGGAGTATCTACTATCATTGGGGTAGCTCCTGCTGGTCATGAGATATCCACCATGCCTTTCCAGTTAGTCACTGGGAGAGTGTGGAAGGGAACCGCTTTCGGCGGATACAAGAGTATCGATGGAGTGCCGCAACTTGTCGAGGACTTCTTGGCTGGGAAATTACCACTAGACGATTTCATCACGCATAACATGCCGTTGGAGAAGATCAACGAGGCGTTTGAGTTGATGCATGCGGGAAAAAGTCTTAGGGCTGTTGTAGGGTTATAAACAAGCCAACAATGCACCAATTCAACAGAAAATGTTTTTGATTTTTTATATTCTTATGAGAAATATAAAAATAAAAAGGTAATGCTTCACTGCTTTTTGATTTCCAACATCTTGTTGGCTATTATTTGACTTAACTTATCATTGCCGAGCGCAACAAGAGCAGCGACAAATTGCCTGTCCTTGGATAAGCTCTGCAATGCTTTCTCGGAGAATAAATTAATCAAATTCACACCCTCTTGATACTTTATATCCTGCGGAAGCATCTTAATCAAACGGCAAATATTTTTTACAGTCTCCGCTTCGAATTGTAGGGAGATATCTTTCTCGCGCATTTTCTACAAGATCGGATATTAGACGATAACAGATTAATCTAATTAAAGGTCTTACCTGTATACAGATTCCATAATTCGATAAATAATACGATAGTGCGGTGAAGACAGGTTTGTTATCAGCACCTTGCGTGTTGGTAACTTCGCAGATCAATATAAGAACATCAGTTAGGGACTCAGCTGCTTTTTGCATTCCTAGGGTCGTCGCAACCTCTTCTGTAATTTGCAACCATTCTTGTGTCACACAACGTGACAACATCTAGGCACGATCAGAATTTCACAAAATGAAACTTAGAAAAATCAAGTTCTTACCTTAAGTAGCTTGCTAATTTGCTGGCCATACGAATCAATTACAAAATTTGGAAATACATAATTAAGAAGACTTTGATATGAATTTGCCCCAGTCAATGTGAGGTAGTAACTGTTCAGTTTGTTAAGTTCAGATTTGTGAACCTCATTCATATCTGAAACAAATTATTACAACAGTTTTATTTAAACACTTTCCATTCGTTTTAAACAAATCACCTTCAAATGATCCACTTATTTGAGTTAAAAGTGAAGTACTGGATGTACAAATGCCAATTTTCCGTGCACAAAAATCTGAATACTTTACACGGTGTTTTTCCAAGTTGTTTATCAATTCAATTGCCAGCTCTTCTTTGTGTGTCTCATTCAAGGACTCAACTGGAAGTGACTAAAATCATTTCTTTTTGATTTAGTTTGGCGTACTTTAGCGAAAATTTACTACAAACCTTTAGTATTTGCAGAATAACATCCAAATTTTCATTATTATCCTGAGCAGACAAAATCAATGGCTTAAAAACATATGTAAACAAATGATTCACTTCAGTACACTCTGTCCTAATCAACATATGCATTAATTGTGTGATACTGCTCTGCTCATTCTCCTTCAACTCATCCAAAGTTTTAATAATCTGCTCCAACTTCATTAATGGAATGAAATTCATACTGATCACATTTTTAATTGCCCTGAAAACATCTTCTAGCCATTTAACATAGACTTCGTTTTTAATACACTCCCTAAAGAGAATCTCAATTACTTCCTGTGGATTTTCAAGCAGTAAAAGTTGAATATTTCGAATTAATTCCTCGTTACATCCATTTTGCATTTTATTCAGCAGAAGAGTGAGTTGGGGCTGAACGGAGGTCAGTTCAATGTAAGTTTTCCAAGGTTGATCGATCCAGAACGACCTCGCGATCAAAGTCGATAAGTTTGGCACAGACAAATGCGCAGCGCATTTGATAGCGAGGCGTTTGCATGATTCGTCCTTGGACATGGCTAATTCTAAAATAGAGAGCACCTCGTCCAGAGTACACAGCGCACTCCAGCGCTGCAAACACTCGCGGCTTGTGGGAATGTCGAAGATATCGCTTTTACGCACAAGAGCAGCAAACCACCGACGCTGATGTTCATCGGCGTCGTTGATATGATTCACTATTGAGGTGACAGATGCACCTGAGATGATTTCTGATAACGATTTCGGTTTCTTCGCCATGCAAGTTAGGAGCGAAATTAGTTCGGCAGCAGGTTTGACTTTCGCATATTTCTCGACTACTCTGTAAGCTTCTGTGCCAATAGCATACTGAAATGGCAAGTCATCTTCTTCAATCTGCAATTATTTTTAAAAATTATGCCCAAGTATCATTTTAAAATATATTGTTAACACTTTAAATATTTTGTAAATTTTAAGACTTACCTCTGCCCAAGTACAGAAGACATTAACTGTAACTTGTTTCATCACAATTGAAGTTGTCATAACCAAGGCATCTACAATTTTTCCACATCCCATGTGCACTTCATTCACAAGCAGCAACATCTTAAATAATTTATGAAGTGTGTATCCTATGTGTAAATCTCTTTCAGTGTCTGTCGCATTTGTTAAACTGATTGAAGGATGCACACTAAGGTACATCAATAGTTTAACAATTATATTATTAATATTTCTGATATTATCAAACACCTAGAAATGAAAAGTTAATAAGAATTGTTTAATAACATGAATAATGCAGTAGCATACATGATTATCTTGAATATCAGTTGAATTCACTTTCTCAATTAGGGTACTGACAATAATATTAACATTTTTGAGTGTCTTTCCACCATGCCCATTTATGAAAGTATCATTAGCAGCTTCAAAGAGTTCAGACACAATTTGCAAAGGCAATTTTATAGCAACTTTACCATAAATATCTATCAACTCTGTTTCAATTGCTATGTTAATTAACAGAAACTTGGAACATTTTGGCATGATGTTTATAAGATGGCTGTATTCCTTAATATTTGCAAGGGTATCATCATTTAGTTTTGTGTTTAAAATCAAAACAAGATGATTTTTTCAAGTGAAGCATTATTTCTCATGTGAAGATTGGGTGGATCTGTTATGTAGCTTTTGGAAAGTAAGAACTGCTTGATCTTGTTGACAACCAATTCAATTTTTGATTCGTTTCCTTAAAATAATAACTTATTAATGAATTGTATTTAAGAAAATAACGAAAACATTCAATTATAGGTTATAAAATACACACCTCCTTTGTGTTTAATTTCTGCCAATGTTCCGACTTGACGCTCACATTCACCAATTATATTTTGAATAGCAATTAAATCTTGTGTTAATTCCATCTTTCCTCTGTCACTATATTGCTGCAATTAAAAATAAGACAAAGTCTTTGAGGAACAACTGGGAATGTTAATCACAAAAACACAACAGTTTGAAACCGTTTTCCACTTTGACACTTTGAAGTAAGATTGGTTGTCTAAGTTATTGCTTTTTTATTTAAACTTAACAACGATATAATTTTTATTATAATTTTGAGATACTTTTTTTGGACAACTTTAATATTAGTAACAAACAACCATTTAAAAAAATGTAAAATAAAAGTATGAAAGACAAGAAAGAAAGATTAATTCTCTAACCATAGTTGTGCAATTTTTAATCGAGATGGCGGTAAGATGCACTTATTTGCATTAAATTCTTGTATTAAACTTTATTGAACGTATTTGAATTTATTAATATTCAAATATAATTATTGTTATCATTTTGACAGAAGTATACCATTTTTTTTAATACATTATTGAAAAATTTTAACATTTCTAATTAATACATACTACGTATATTCGTTATAAAAGATAATACAATAAATGCAAATAAAATGTTATATTAACAATTACAATGGTGCAGGCACGTTCGGAGTGTAGTTCCCAACGTAATTTCCAGGTGGGGAATAATTACACACGACATAAATATGACCATTCTTTTTGGCAATGCCAACTCCTAACTTTTCACTAAGCCTCCAAACCACTTGGGTAAAGTGACCAGCTTTTAAATCCCTGGGTTCTTGACCAAAAGTATAGAACTGAATTTCATCGTACCATGAATCAACAGCCTTACCACCTTCTACCGTATAGTTAGGATCAGATGACCAAGCAGAAAAGATGTTTTCTCCGTAGGTATTCTGACTCCGGTGTTGCATCACACCACGCCTTGCTAACTCCTCAGCCCACTCTTGACTGTACCTGCAAAGTTGATCATCTAGTTGTAAAGCAGGTACTCCATGCTTAGCCCTGTACATATTATGTTGGTTCAAACAGTCACGGTTAAAGTTTCCAGAGGAAGATGCGCCGTTAGATCTAGGAGTTGACGCGGCAGAAGGTCTTACGCAAGTTGGTTGGGGTGGTCCTTGAGGACAGACCTGTCTTCGAATACCACTTGACATCGGTGGTAGAACATTTGCACAGAATTGCCCCCTTACATTTCCTGGTGGCGAGTACCTGGTAACAACGATGACTCTTCCACCCTCTTGTGCCAAACCAATAGCCAACTCCCGACTGTCTTTCCAGACAACTTGAGTGAAGTTACCAGTTGGGTTGTTCTCCGGCGGTTCACAAGAGTAGTCATGTTCTGACTCTTTGTTGTACCAGTGATTTACCGCTGCTTCTCCACTGATCGTATAATTTGGATCCGTGGACCGCACCGAGTATATATTTTCGCCTAGGTCGCTGACATTGCTGCTGCGAAGTGCTCCTTCCCGGAGTAACTGCTGAGCAAAGCGGGTAGCGTCCACGGATAGTTGGGCGTTGTACTTCAATGGCGGCACACCATGTTTAGCTCGGTACTCATTGTGGGCTTGCAAACACTCGTTGTTAAAAGACATGATTGTTTAGAGTAATCACGAACAGCAAAAAAATGCAAATACACAATTCTACAATTGGCATAGAATTTGCGCTCTCGCCGGGTTTATATATGCAACTCTTATCATACACACTCAGGTAAATTGATAAGGAGTTGTTTTCAGTTCGTTTTATTGTTTTAGCAAAATGATATCATCTTTATTGATTCCATTTTACAATTCATCATACTCACAAATAGTAGAGGTACAAAGTTGAAGACAATACGAGTGAATTTACAGGATATTTGGAAATTCTAAATGTTTAGTAGACTTTAAACTGAAAAAAATGAGGAATTAGAAGAAATGACACGTGGCGCCGTAAAACAAATAAAACATAAGTTGCGATATAAGTACACAATTACTCATTTTCGTTTAATAAGGACCATAAATGACGGAACTAACTAAATGAATCATAGTGTAACAAAGTTAGATTTTATGGCCATTTAATCAAATAAATGAAGGCCATTTTTAACTTTTCACGGAACAATTATATATGTGTATTATTCGTCGAAAAAAAGACTATAAGTGATTGATTAATTAAAAAATAAAACAACAATATATTATTTTAGCAGTTATGATTAAAACAAGATAATTACACTTGAAATTCTCAATTTTTAACATTTCACGGAACAATTATATATGTATGTGTATTATTCGTCGAAAAAAGAAGACTTTAAATGATTGATTGATTTAAAAATAAAACAACGACATATTATTTTAACAATTATGATGAAAACAAGATAATTACATTTGATATTCCCCACTTGAAAAGTTTATTATGCATTCCAGTTAATTTTAACCAATTGGCAATCATAAAACGTAATTTCGGTGGCGACTAGCACGTGGTTAAGCCCTCTCACACTTGCCCGCCACCCCTTTAGCGTACTATCGCTTGTTTTCACGCCGCTATTTGCAAATGTATTTCATGTTTCGCCATGTTTGTCTGCAGCCTCTCATCTAGCATTCAGCATCGACCATGAGCGTTATTACGCTTTAACGACCATGCTGTAATTATCACCCGGCAACCAAACACGACGTACCTGCACCACCGCGAATAAATCCGTTCTCGCAGTTGTTTTCGCCCCCGGCTGGCTTTTCGGCCATCCGGCTTATAATGGTCGCAAATGAATTGCCACGAAGCAAACAGCCGACATTTCCGACTAAAATTTGCCAAGCTTTTTCATATAGGTGCGCAAGCTTAATACAAAATTGACATGGATTTATGCGAACGCTACTTTTCCAGATGTTTGTGAAAAAAAGGAAATAATTGCGCATTAGTCTCAATTTCTATGAAATATCTGATTTTATTTTTTGTATTTTTAAACCTTTTATGCAACCGACACTGAGATTAGTTTCAAATTTTGCTAATAAATCATGATTAACGCGAGATAATCTGTACTAACAGTGAAGAAATATTGTCTGGGATAATAAATAAATTGTTATTTAATAGATTATTTATCTTATCAGATGTCAAACACTTGAATGGTATTATAGTGAATCAAGTGACATTGAATCCTAAGTTAAATATCGTATTTTAATACCTGAAATATCACTTTGTAAATATTTGTGTTTCAATTAAAATCATATTATATATTATTTGCAAAACAAACATTTATATTTTTTCTTTACTCTACATTAACTATAACTATATAGATTTTAATTTAAATTTTAATCTACTTTTAAAAAGTTTTCTGATTTAAGATGCAACAAAATATGTTAAATTGCAATTCCATCAGATGCCAATTAAACACTTTCAGAGAATAAACTAGAGTTTGATATATTTTATGTATCAGAAAAAGATAATTACATCAGCAAATGGAATCGTTTGAATGTTCGTTTAAATTCGTTTCCGCTTTTGACCACACTGACCGAACAAGCCAATTCATATCCTCTCGCCCTCACATGCCCCTTCCATCGTGCAGGGGGCTGCTGGTGGTGATCCCTCGCAATGAACATTACGAACATTACACTCGCTACGGCGCGCAGCGTACGAAATAGACGAAACAAAATCGTAACGAGCATTTCGGGCGGAATGCGCGAGCTCGCTCATCGCCGGCTGTCGCGTGTGTTCTCCGCACATCCATGCATATTCAAATCGTGGCACAGAGTGGACACGATAAGCGCCCGCTGCAGCATCCTGCTGTCCCGCTGATACGCGCACATCCAGCGCAGCCAGTGGATCGCTTGCCGCCTGCGAGCGCTCGTTCAGTGTGTCTCCATGACGAGCCGAAGCCAAAAGCACCACGAGCGCCTGCAGGGCGAAAGCTTTTACGTCCGCGTATTATCCAAAAAGTGCTTCAATTAAGTTCGAAAGTCGAAAATAAAAATCATAAAACATGTAATCAAATCTATGATAATCAATCAAAATTAAAATAAATACAGTTTAAGAAGTTTAACTACAAGTGATCTTTTTGAAACTATTTTAATTTTATTTAATGGTACGAGATGTAGTGCAATGTGCGTGACTATAACTTAACACAAACATCGACAATAACAATAACAATACATCAATAAGTCTCGTCTAACACGCTAATACTAGTGATGCTTTGTCCTGCGCGCGAATCGAAAATGCGCGTGTAATGTGCGATCGCATCCACGTGCACAAAAACGCAAAAAATGTTCAACGCGCTGCGGTGGCGCGTGCTACTCTCCAGCATGCTGCTGGTTGTAGGCGTTGCCTGCTTCGACGAGGAGGATATCCCGAAATTTAAGTTTTCCGCTGATGAACTGCTGCATATGAATTTTCCGCCGAAGAGCAGTAATGATTTAGATCTGGATCCGTGCAAAGCAGGTAAATATAAATAAAAATATATAAAGAAATTTAGGTTTTACTCTCTATGTTTATATTTAGTTGATAATTTATTAATCTGCCGAATATTGAATGGAAAACATGTTTATCACACTTGTTTATGTTACGATAAAATGTGTAATATTCGAATAAATTTAGGCGACCCAATAAAATTTGTAACTTTCTTGAAAGTAACAAGTTATAATGATATTTATCAAATGTTTGTATTCCGTCCCTGCATTGTAAGTTTGAACATCCGCAGTTTGCGTGAATAGTCGAAAATGTTTCCGTGGCTCCCACTTGGGAGCCGGTGCAGCGGCTAGATAAATCGTGGCATATTCCGTCTACGAGCGCGGTGATACAAAGAGGACTTTAATTAAACACACCGAGTTGGCGCACAAAGACGCGAGGCGCCCATGCTCGGATGACTTATCGAGTGTGCCAGCGAGTTTGTTACTACAGTAACGCTCCCGAAGACGATGGTGAACAATGCCTGAGAATCGAATCGTCGCACAAAGCGATTCGTTTAAAGTTTACGAATTAATCTTGTTTATAAGTATACGATTTCGGTCGCTGAAACGAGATAAATAAGACGTCGTTTGAGTGGCCTTACGAGACTACAAGAAGTTTTATTTCGTAAAGTCTGATGAGATTTTTTTTATTGCACGAGTTATTGCAAAGAGCGGAGTATAATTGAAGGCGAATTTTCGTGCGCAAGTGAGGAATTTTCAATTTGTCGATCACACTTGACGTGGTCTGACGTTTCCATTTCGTCGAAATCGGATCTAATTTTAAACGAATTTGCGAGCGCCCCGTGAGAAAGTGGCGGCGGCCGGTTGACAAGACAAGCACCCTGGGGCGGGGCGCGACAGATTAATGTCTATAAAACGTCGAGGAGCTTAACTTTGCTTTCGGTGATTGATTGATTCATTGCCTATTGGCTTCTTGAACAAGTCTACGCTGTGCGGCAAATTGATAGAAATGTAATCAAATGATTTTTATAGGATGAACAAAAAGCACTAGTATTTTACCAATATTAATAAATCTATATGTAAAAAACAATGTCAAATTAGTTACAACATTTATAACTCAAGAACGACTCGACCGATTTTGATTATCAATAATTTATTGGATTTGTCTTTGCTCTAAATAGCATAATGTCTATTTGACAAAATTTTGTTCTTAAAGGGTGTTAAATAAACGATCTAAATTGGTATAAATATTCAATAATAATTATAGTTAAATAACTGAATACGAGATGGCGTTAAAGTGTATTATTAGCATTTCTCATTTCTCAATAAAATTGCGAATATTATTGATAAAATCGATACAGACTAGGTCTTGAACGAGAAAATAAAAATGAATTATATTTTACTAAAAACAGCGGGGCCGAGGTCGCAGTTATGAATATTGTATACAAGCAATTCTTGTTGCGAAACAAAAACGCAACTGAAAGCGAATTTAATAACCGCGATAGTGGTATATAACATAAATTAGCCAATCTCTTAATTACAGCGAGTTAATGATTTCGTAGAATTATTGACTCGAACGTCATTTGGTATGAAGGCGCGCGCTGTAGTAAACAAATCTAGTAGCAGCTGGATCAAATTAAGCCAAAGCGATAGACAATGCGCGCCCAGATGTCACGCATCGTCGTCATCATTATCATCATCTCGACAGCGCGGCGGCGTCGGCAATAGTTGCGTGCGGCGGGCGAGTGAGAATTAATTGGGTCCGATCATTCATGAAACGTTGAAGCGCACGCCATGGGACAAAGCGTCCGGCAGATAACTACAGAAATTGCACCAGCGACGCTTCTAGTAGACAAGTTGACGCTTGCTATCGCCTATCGAAACTTATCGGGCATGCGTCCGCGCGTATGCGCAGCTTGTATAAAGTCTGCGCGCTCGCCGAGATAACAGCATTCAATAACAACACTGATAGCCGGGACGCGCTCGAGGGATGGCCGCGGATTCAATGTTTCAACGCGCTTATCAGCAGCGACTATCAGCGGCCTAACTAGCGGTGGCTCTGGTGGCTGTGCACAGATCAAGGACGGTCATGTTTTACAAAATTATCGAAATTTTGTGTTGTCACGAATTGCGCACAGCAACGATGCACGGGGTCTATGATTTTTCTCGCGGGCTTTTGGCCTCATTAGCGTTGTGTTGCGAAATAACAAAAGGAGTCTATTGATTAAAATCTAATGATGATGACGGCGCGAGAAACGGTTGCTCTACTCTTGCAATTTGATGGGGAGTGTAGAGTAAAGGGGGCTTAACAAAGTGCCCACTTCAAACGGCAGCGGCGGGGAATCGGATGAGTATCGAGTGATTCTTCAAACACTTCGAATCTTACAGTTCTGCATTTAGTATAATTTATACTTTTTGATGGATGATATTTATTAACAAAAATCCTTGTATTTGTAGGTGGTTTCTTGGGAGATATTGCAATTCCCGATACACCAACTTCTAAACCCCAAGACTATCAAAAACAAGTTAATTCCTTCAAACAAGACGTTCTTGATGGATTGCAAATTGAAGAGGAAGGTCTTTCTGACCTGGTGCGTCGCAAAACCAAAATTGCCCACCAGCAGCAGCAGCAACAGAATATACCCACAATATTACCAAGTTACAATGACCCATCTTTACTGGTCAATTCCAATACTGATACAAAAACCAAAAAAGACATTCTTAAAAAACCTACTCCCCAAGAACTTAATCAAAACAGTAATGGCCGAATAGTGTTTCAATATGCTACTGAGAATGCCAAAGATGGTAAAAACACCAAAGCCCTAACTGAATTTCCTTCCCATGATGGAGGTATTTCGAGAAGGCGTCGTCGAAAGCACAAGAAACGTCGACGTGGTTCACAAACCTCTTCTAGTTCTGAAACTTCCGATGATCCTATGTTAAGTGAAGATCCTAGACCCGTTCATGAATTTGAACCAATGTTTGACTTAAAACCAAAAAAATACGCACCTCATAGACGTACCACAAGGGCTGCAACTGCGCGTAAAGAACGTGTGTGGGATTACGGTGTGATCCCGTATGAAATTGATGCTAACTTTAGTGGTGCACACAAGGCCCTTTTTAAGCAGGCTATGCGTCACTGGGAAAACTCCACCTGCGTGAAGTTTGTTGAGAGGTCACCTGATGACCATCCCAACTTTATTATGTTTACTGAACGCCCGTGCGGATGTTGCTCGTTTGTAGGTAAGCGAGGCAATGGTCCACAAGCCATCAGCATTGGGAAGAACTGTGACAAATTCGGTATTGTCGTTCACGAGCTTGGGCACGTGGTGGGTTTCTGGCACGAGCACACGCGACCTGACCGGACATGCACGTGAATATCATTCGCACACACATAATGAATGGTAAGAATCAACTTTTATTCTTAATCCGGAGCGGTTTTGACTTAGACACGTCCGGTTTGATGTCATATAATGTACCTTTGGCACGTTGCAGGCCAGGATTACAACTTCAACAAACTGAGTTCGGATGAGGTCAACTCGTTGGGGCTGACATACGATTACGATTCGATTATGCACTACGCACGGAACACGTTCTCGAAGGGGACTTATTTGGACACCATCCAGCCGATTGATGTGCCAGGCCGGAAGCGGCCCGAAATCGGTCAACGCCTGCGGCTCTCACAAGGCGATATCGATCAGACTAATTTGCTCTATAAATGTCCAAGTACGTATTTATTTGTTATAAAATACATGATAATAATAAAACAATTTGTAGAGTGCGGTCAAACATTCCAAGCAAACGCCGCACACTTCAATTCTCCAAATTTTAACAATATGCTTAGTTTTCACGAAGAGAAATGTGAATGGCGAATTACTGCCACCCACGGGGAAAGAATTGTTCTGAATATTACTGATCTTGACATTCCAAAATCTGCTAACTGCTCAGAGGACTATATTGAAATACGTGATGGATATTGGCATAAATCGCCAATCCTCGGAAAATACTGCGGTAGTGGTAAAATAAACGAGCCTATTATTTCTACAGGTAGTAGAATGTTGGTCACGTATGTAACTAAGGAACCCACCAGTCAACGTGGATTTGCTGCACATTACGAGGGTAATAATTTCAAATCTTGACTTAAAATCAATTAAAACTTGTTCCGTTTTAGCTGTTTGTAGAGGTGAACTTGATTTGGAATCAGGTGGTCACCTAGAATCTCCTAATTACCCCGAAGACTATCAACCTAACAAAGAATGCGTCTGGAAGTTGACAGTTCCTGAAAATTATCAAGTTGCTATGAAATTTCAAAGTTTTGAAATTGAAAACCATGATAATTGTGTTTATGACTACGTAGAAGTGCGTGATGGATTAACAATGGACAGTCCTGTTATCGGTGTGTTTTGTGGGAACAAGATACCACCTGATATAAGGTCTACCAGCAACCATCTTTTGGTAAAGTTTGTTTCGGACGGATCTGTACAAAAGGCTGGATTCTCAGCAACGTTTATCAAGGAATATGATGAATGTAGTGGTACTGAGCATGGGTGCGCACAAGAATGTGTAAACACTTTAGGGTCTTATGTGTGTGCATGCAGAATTGGATATGAGTTACATTCCGATGGGAAAAACTGCGAAGGTTTGTTATATTGGCATGATATAAATCTAGATTTAATGTATTTTGTTATTACAGATGCTTGTGGAGGGGTTTACCAAATTGTTAACGGAACTATCACTTCTCCTTCATTTCCCGATCTATATCCAGCAAATAAATCATGCACCTGGGAAATAGTGGCACCTCCCCAATACCGTATTACTTTGAATTTCACATCTTTTGATCTCGAAGGAAATGAATTGCAACAACAACAATGTGATTATGATCGAGTGGATGTTCTTAGCAAAAATAGAAACCATGGACCATTTTGTGGTCCTACTAAACCACCACTTATTACTTCCGAGAGTAATACATTACGAATAACTTTTAATAGTGATTCAAGTGTTCAAAAAAGAGGGTTTGCTGCTGTTTTCTCAGCTGACATGGATGAATGTGCAATTAACAATGGCGGATGCCAACACGATTGCATCAACACTTTGGGCTCCTATCAATGCGGCTGTCACAACGGGTTTGTTCTTCATGAAAATAAAAAAGACTGCAAGGAAGGCGGATGCAAATATGAAGTTACCAATCATTACGGAAATATAACTTCTCCCAACTATCCAGATTTTTATCCTTCTCGAAAAGACTGTGTTTGGAAATTTAGTACTACCCCCGGGCACCGTATTAAAATTCAGTTCTTCAGGTTTGAAATGGAACCCCATCAGGAGTGCTCCTACGATCACATTGTTTTCTACGACGGGGATTCTCCTGAAGCAAATACTTTAGGAAGATTCTGCGGATCAAAGCTACCACATCCTATTGTTGCCACAGGCAACCAGATGTATATGGTGTTTAAATCTGATCAGAGTGTTCAACGTGGCGGATTTCTTGCAACACACTCAACAGTATGTGGGGTCATTTGAGCGCCACTACTACTAGGAATCACGTCTACTCACACTCAAGATATGGAAGCGCTACTTATGATGAATACTCAGACTGTGACTGGACCATCGAGGCACCTCCCAACCATAATGTTTATATTAATTTTCTCGAATTTGATTTGGAGTATGAAGAACATTGTGGGTATGATTATTTAGAAGTGTTTAATGGACCAGATGCTAGTGGTATGTCATCGGGGAGATTTTGTGGAAATAATGTAAGTATTACATAGAGCAAACTACAATCGGTCATATTCTGTAATAATCTTTATTTTAGAAACCAGCTGATATTATATCAGTGCAGGAGACACTCCTCATCCGATTCAAAAGTGACGATACGTACTGCCTCAAAGGATTCTCCATTGTCTACGAAGCCGTGGAACGTTATGACAGTGACGAGGATTCTTAAATTCAAGTTTCAGCCTCGGCAGCTGCGGTAAAGTCAAAACTTAAGCGATAATACTCAGAATACTGCCATATGCTTCCATATAGCGGTTTATTGCGACCAACATTGTTTGATCTCTCGTGCACAGCTCAACACATGTACTCATTTATCCTGACGGTTTGTACATAAGTATTCAGTTAGATAATTAATCAATTACCTCTTAAATCAACGTTTAAGCGACAATTTTATGTACTTGTACCATGTAATACTAATTTTAATTATTAACGGTAATTATTCAGCATAGTAAACTATAAATATTTATTTCTAGTTGTTATACTAGTGTAGATTTTGTGTGGCTAAACATTGATTATAACCGTTAGATACGTACTAGTAAGTATAATTCAAAATTATAAATAAACACAGAACTCAAATTTACTGATGCAATTAATTAATTTACTTTAAATCTTTTTCGACATTTTGGAACTAAGGAATTGATCAAATTTACTTATTTTATTACTTTTCCAGTTTCTCATCGTTATATTGTAAATATCCTTTACGCGTATTTCACCAAGTTATCCTTTCCATCTTCTATAACCATATACTTATTCTATATTAATTAATTTATTTCGAGTTTCTTACTGCCATTGTTGCCCTTTGGAAGTTCTTTACTTTACGCATACGCTTTCAACCCACGAAACAATTTAAAAGGCGCTGTAATATCCATTAAAAATAAATATATTTTTTTTAATTTTAAGATTTGATGTAGAAAACGTTCAGTATCCGGTAATGTAAATAACATGTGAACATTTTGAGTTTTTCACTTTTATGGCACCAGAACCTGAGTACCTGATTTTGAGTATCTCACCGAAATATTCTTATTTCAAAGACGTTCTACACGTTACATGCTCTTTCGACAATCTAAACCTCTCGAAGGTGCCCTGAAATGCTCTTTAAAACTGGTAATTTTTGCAAAAATTTTAAAACAGCCCTGTATCTTGTGAATTAATTCACTTTTTTGAGTACCTCATTTAATTTTGAAAAATGTCAATTTTTGAAGAACATTTTTGCGTACGTTCAAAGGGTTTAGAAGGTGTATAGCAACTTTTAATTGGAAATATGATTATTCAAATAATGTAAAATAGTTGACAAAATACAGTACGTTTTTTAGTCCATTTGCATTAATTTTTGTAAAAATGTTAAGGTTTTAAAAGCATTTTAAGGTGGCGTAAAGTGCAGAAATAGCAACATTTTGTAAATGGTCTCTTAAACTAAGGTATAAAAATATTTTATTGGTACACAAAATATTGGGTGTTTTTGGAACAAAATTTGAAATCTTATAAAATGATGATGATGGATGAACAAAAATCAAGTATTTATTTTATGATTCCATTGTTTTTAATTTTATATTTCTTTGCAAACCTCAATAAATCAAACTTAATTACGTCAGTATTTGTTTACATTAGAAATAATAAAACACGGACCAACGGCGAAAGTCATGAATATGTAAGCCAACTAAGCAATTTACGTATACCTATGTACTTTCCACTCGCAAGTAAAACAATCAAACACAATAAATTACAGTGATAACAAGAGTGTTTACACTAGCGTTTGTACCTTTTATAGTCGCGCATTTTTCTTACGTGAGTGAATTTTTTGAAAACTAATTAAAAATTAAACATGAAGGTGACATTACTAAAAAAATTGCAAATTGAATTTATTTGAATGTTTGTTTTAGGTTTTCGGCATTTTTTGTTTACTTTTGGGAACAATATCGGCATATCCGGAGGATTCAAATAGACCTCATGGAGTGAAACCGTTGTATTATTACCGTAATAATACTTCATTAAAAAATTAATTAACGGAGTAATCACGATTTCTGTTTGCAGAGCAAATTACATCATTATTAGGTCCAATATTAGGAGGGGATGATTCGAATGGAAGCCTACAATCCATGCTTGGAGCCATTGGTAAGCTAGGTCAACGTGCGTCGTCCTGGTACGACATCCTAATTGAACACAGCGACTCGCACAAATTTGTCGACGATCCTGATTCAATGCTCGGCAATGTTGTCGAAGGTGTCAAAGAGAAGATTCAACAGTGTTATGCTGATGAATCTAACGGTGAAGCACTGAGGAGTCAAGTATCTGAAAACAATCTTGATTTCAGTGGTAATTATCACAAGTATTTTGAAAAATTAAATATAATATAATTTTGGTTTGAAACAGATCCTGTGGCGAGAGAATTTATGGTCATTGTCAACGGTGTCAATCAATTAAAAGAGCTTTTACAAAAAGAAGGATATATTCGTGATATCAATCAAATGAAATATATGAAACCAGTGAATATTCAAAATGGTGGAAGGGAATGTAAGTTGACACGATGCAAAATTATAAATGTAAATAATTTATTAATAAAATTAATTTTTCAGTTTGGATTTTCAAGTTGTTAGAAAGCAAAGCGTTTCTACGAATTATTTGTGAGTTTTTTTTTTTAAATTTAACTATTAAAAGTAAAATGTGATTTTTAATCAAATATTAATTAAACGTTGTTGCAGGTGGAATGATGAATGTTGAATGGGATATCCTCGTCAGCGCGTTAATGTCACAATTGTAATATTTTAATATCCTATTTAGTTAACAAGCGTTATTGCATATGTTATTATTACATTCGACAATTAAATTTCACTTTGAAGATGGTTTAGTCTGATTAAAATTGACAGATCCGCTGTCATAATCAGTTCGAGAGTTATCGGACAATTCTGCGCTTTCGCAATGCCGGTTTTGCAATGTTCCTGATAAATAACACTAGATTAAAATGTAAAACGTTATAGTTTGACATTAAATCGTTAAGCCGAAACCACCGAAAACCCGCTACTGTGGGCCGTGTTAGTTCGTTACGCAGCACCGGATGGCCGGATAGGCGAGAAGCCTTTACTCTAAATGAATATTAATTAATCCTGACGATTTGTGGGTGGCTCAGCTCCCCGGCCGGCGATCGTTGTGAATTTTGCATTTCGACCGCGGCGAACAAAGCCATTGTGCAAAAGTAGGTGCCGCCACCCCGGCGCCCTACCGCCCCAACTCGGCTGATAGCGGTAATTTCCTGTTTTGAAGTCCTTTCACGGCGCAAAACGCGTGCGAATCGAAGTTATGCGCAGGCCAACCGTAAACCCAATACATACGAGTGCAATTTAGGCGTAATTTACGTATAAATAAATTTAATACAATTGAATACTAGTTTTTTCAAATGCAATTATTATTCATCTTACTCCCAGACCAGTTTAATTCCGGTTTATGTGTTGATTAACATAACTACTCAAATTATCTAAAAATAAGATACTATGCTTATTGCGTATTTAATAATGTTTACAACCTTTGTGGGAGTCGCACTAACAAGATGCAAACAGAGGAATAAGAACTACTTGAAGCTAAATAACAGTAGGCGTCTCGCTGACAACGGGGAGAGCGTATCGCATTATTCAATTAAGCTTCGTCAACTTGCCTCAAGTCGCAAGTCACAAGTTCTTCAGTCGTAGCCTAAACCAGCTTGAGCTAAAACTAAATTTCACTGTGCCTTTACTCCAGTATTCGGAGATTGTTTGCTATTCGAAATTGACTCTAGCGCAGTGCACCAAGTCAGCCTGAAAGACTAAGAAGTAAAGAAGCTGAGAAGAGGAAAAGAAACCGAAGGAAACGAAGAAAATGTTCAACTCCCTTGGTATCGCCATCTTGCTGATGTTGGCGTTGTTGTGAGTACCACGCGAGCAAGACGCGGCTTTTCTTAATTTTCCGTTTTCCCTTCTGCCGCTGCGGGTGCTGGATGAAGACGCTAATAACGATTATGTTTACGCGCACACGGACGCGTATAGTAAAGCAATTTGCACGGCGTAATCTTATTAAATTCTTCTTTCCGCCGGCGGCTGCTTTCATTGAAAATGCGAAAATGCGCACTGTGTGACGATACGCCTTCAAGTACAAATATTTTGAGTGCCCAAAGCGTACAACGATAGGGAAAAACGTCGAGAGTCCTGTAAGATATGCGGAGCGTTGCGCGTAAATTAATTCGTTAATTGGCGCTTGTCCGCTGCTCTGATTAATTAGCGCCTAATCAATTATTATTACAAACAATACTTGAACTCGAAATTTCGGAATTAAAAAATTCCCGAAATGTTTAAACAGCATTTATTTAATAATTATTTTGCTTAATCCTGTATTATTTAAATGTTTCTTTGAATTATAAAGTTATCACCTATCTGTACTTGATAAATTATGCGTTGGATGGCAATTTACAGCTGAAGTAACTTGTAAAATTGGCTCGTTATAAAAGTGTCAAAGTTAGCTCCCTAAACTCCTACTCAGCGACAAATTGCTTTCTGCGCCTTTGCAAAAATACTCCACAACAAATAAATCACAATTTGTGTTTGCGACAGGCAGCGACATGGCGCAGAATGCAACGCACACCAGCGCAAACTCGAGAAGCAGATCATCGACAACGTGTTCTCTTCGACGAACTATGATCCACGCGTGCGGCCATCCGGCGTAAACAGCTCGTCTGGTAATTAAATAACTAATTAACGCACTGAACGCGCGCGATTCGATCCAATCGCCGATGCCATTAAGTGATTTTATTGGCCGTTGGAGGATCGCTATATTTTGGATTTCATTGAGCGCGTGGTGCCAATTTTCTTTGCCCTTTATTTTTTATTATTTGCTCGTTGCTCTCGTCGACTTGTTTTTTAATATTTTTCCATTATCTGCTTTGTTCCACGAACGCCAATGCCAATATTGGAAATTCGCTCGGGTTGATATTGCCACTGCAACTGGGTTTTTTCTCCGGGGGCATATCAACGCAAATTGCCGGCTTCCTGGTATCCGTGGCAATGTCGACTACGTGGCTGCAAAAAAAAAACACCGTGCACTTGTTGAAAATTGCGTAACATTTGTTGCGAAATTTTTTTTGCGTACTGCTTGGACTTTGTTTGTTACACTTTGGTGGCGGGTGGTCCGACAGCCTTCGTTAAGCCTTTGGAGGTAGTTGTGAACATGTATGTTCGAAAGATACACCGCCTTGATGACGATAAAATGGTAAGCCACATTCATCATTTTAATTAGTTAAATCAAACGTTGCTGCACAGAAAAAAAAACTCACAAAATTAAAAATAAAATTGAGTTTTACATACGCAGTATTTTCATAAAAAAAGATCTTTGTGAACAAAAATTGCAATTTTAAAATTTCATCATTTTTTCAAAGCGATTAAAAATATTATAAATAAAATATAGTAATAGTGTTAACTTTCTTTATAGCTATAAAATACATGTAAATTATTTAGTATTCGATGGCAAAATTGAAATTCAGATAAATTAATTGATTATGGGCTCTGATTAAGATGCAAATCACGCATCGTCTTAATGCAATAAACTCTTTGCGAAAATTTCCAGCATCGCAATTTGTTTACGACGTCGGATGCCGTCGTCACTTCAATTTCGCGAGCCTGGAACGCGACGCGACGTTGAAACCTTTTTATCTAATTAAACTCAATTACATTTAATTAAATTAAATTAAAACCGGCACGGTGCGGTGCGCGCACGCAAATTGGCGACCGACCAAACGATTCAACCAGCATACTCACACATAAAAGAGAAACATTACCAAAAACAATTAGTATGCATTTTTTTTATCGAGATAATAATTTCTCCAACTGTTTCACAACACTGCTTAGGAATATTTTGCTGAATTCTTTTGCGTTCAGTTATTTAGCTTGGACACAACGTTCAGGCAAATGTGGGTGGACGAACGGTTGAAATTCAACGCAATCAACGGCGTGCCCCACCTGAATCTCAACGACGACGATGATTTATGGACGCCAGGCCTGTTCTTCAACGATTACAAGGGATCGACGCACGACGTGACGACGCCGAACATTCTCGTACGCCTTTGGCCGAATGGCACTGTGATGCATAGCAAGCGGTACAATTTGATGTTGTATTGCGATATGGATTTTCACGATTTTCCGTTTGACGTTCAGACGTGCAACATGACTATTGCTGCTTGTACGTAAAAGTAATTTATCATTAGCAAGCAATAAATATTTAAATATTTTTCACTACACAAAAAGTTTCAAAGGTTGGAGTTTGTATATAGAAAAGGTTTTATATCAATAATTCGATGCACTCAATATTTTGTTCTTATTCTGTAATGCATTTAAAGTTAGAAGCATCGACCCAAAACTTTACTTTCAAATGAAGAAGTTTGCTGCGCTCGACAAAAATATAAAGTGCTTTATTAATTTTCTATCTCTGTTTCCAGACGCTTACAGATCCAGCGACATTGTTCTAAAGTGGAGATCACCCGATGAGGAGGCAATATTCATCGCCAAATCGCTGATCAATGATGGACTTTATACATTGAAAAAGTTTGATACTATCGCCACCAGCAGTAAAACTTCGACAGGTCAGTTAATGATTATAAATTGAAATTGTAAAAGTGCAAACACTCGTCAAATATAAATTTATTATTTGCAGGTGAATATTCCAAGCTGGTTTTATCGCTTGATTTTCAACGTGTGCTTCCTTACTATGGTATTCAAATATTTATTCCTTGCTTGATGATGACTATTGCTGGATATTTACCGTTTTGGATTGGAATGAAACATTTCAATGCCAGAATTATTTTAGGTGAGTTTTATGAAATTCCCGTATATCTACAATTATTACTATTACTTTTTTGTTGTCAATTTATGATGGGAATTTTCATTTTCTGTTGTTTTTTGTTTATCATTTTTTATTGCATATTTACAAAAAATCGTTTTCCTTCCCAAGTTTGTGTCCGCTTGAATGGTAAATAAGGTAAGAGAAAATAAGAAAGTTGAAACTCTGACATATCTCACGCAAAGGTAAGCTATAATAAGGATCCTTGCGTTTAGAACGCATAGTCCTTTTCTCTTTTGGGTGCCCTGGAGAATGATAAAACGAAAACCGACCCGCAGGCACAGACATTGGCGTTGGTATCGACATGGAGACAAGATCCAACAAAAAAGAGAAAAACGTTACAGTAACAGATCGAAAACGAATACGAATTCGAATGTGAAAACGTACATGCGAAGGCATCGCCAAAGAAAAAGGCGCAAACGTTTTTTTTCTCTCTACTGTTGCTGCTGCGTCAGATCCGAGTTTGGGTTTGGGTTTGCGTTTGAGCTGATAAGACTTAGGAAAACCCAACTAAGTGATTCTCCAATTCGTTTAAATTCGCCGATATAAATAGATAGGGCGATGTTTTCAGTCAAGGCTCAGCACCAGGACGAATCTCGTTCGAATTCCTGGCTGTGCTTAAACGACCGGGTATTTGAAAAAAAAAACGTATGATACACAAGACTGAAGAGTAATTGAATGTTTCTTTGAACTCGTTATAAGCAAAAGTCAATTTTGCAATTAAAAAATTTAATTAAACTCGTAACTTCCATAGATTTAAAAATAAGTTATTTTTTATTTATGGCCAATTAAAAGTTTGTTTAATTAATTACTTCCATAAATATTTGTTTTAATTATTTTAGACTTGTTTTTTCTCTCTTCTGGGCACAATTGCTAATTAATTATACTAGAAGCCATCAGTCCATAAATATTATTTATTTAGAGCACAAATCCACGTTTTAATATTTACAAGATGGCATATGGTATAAACGAAAAACAAAGAACCTTTAAATCATGAACAGAAACAAAGTAAAAAAATTCCCTGCTTTGAAGAAAAACCGTAAAGACGTATCCACTCGTCACAGACGCACAAGTCACAAAGCAGGCTGTCATAAATATTTACATGTAATTTTTATTCATGCAAAAATGATACAAAGCAAAAAAATCAAAGGGCATTAATTTTAAAATAGTCGACGAATACGCATATTAATATTGTGTATTTATTTACTTTCACATTTGATTATTTATTGACTAAGGAACTTATTCATTTCTGATGAAGGCACATCGGTAAATAATGCGTGCACTCCCTCGGTGTTTGTTTATGATGTTTGCTTTTCTGTGTTGATTTTCGATTTTTTTACATTTTCCAGCCGTTGCAACCTGTTACACTCTCGCCGTGCAAATATCCAACTTCAACATCGACCTACCGCGCACATCGTACACGAAAGCAGTGGATGTTTTCACCGGCATGTCGCTGACATTCACCTTCGCAACAGTGATCGAGACGATTGTTGTTTATGTCCTCACTGCTCACAACCAGGAGAGCATCGGCGAGTCGTTGATTCAGTCCAGCGATGGATCGTCTGCAACACATTCGAAATCGTCAGATAAGACCAAACGGATGAGGGAGTGGTTGAGGGATCATTCTGACAGTACCATTGACGTAGTAGCAAAAATTGCTTATCCTGTTGTTTATCTTGTGTTTAGTATTGTTTATTGGGGTTATTATTTGTAACTAATCATTTTTCACAGGATTGAATTGTCTTTAGTTTATTTTGTGCTAATTTTGCTAATAAATACATATTAAACTGTATAATTTCATCAATTATATTTTATAACAATGAGAAACAGTAATGATGCACTTTAGCGCCATCTCGGAATCAATTATATAGCTATAACTGTTATTGAATCTCTATACCAAGTTTTATCCATTATTTAACACCTTAAAAGTAATAATTTTTGATATTTTAATAGTTGTTCTGCTATTATACGCGGAGACAAATCCAACAAATCATAGATAATCAAAATCTGTCAAACTATTCTTGAGTTATGAATGCTGTAACAAACACTTTATATAAAAATAAATTTTAAACTACAATAATTGTCAAAAAACCGGCAAAATTGTGTTTAAAACACCTCTTCGCTTACTGCATTGCAAACTTTAAAAAAGCTGGTGTCACACATGTGGTAATATGGACCCAATTTATGGCTTAGGGTTAAGGGTCGTAAACTCGCGGGTGCGAATGCAAAGCAGTTCATTATTTATTCGACGAGTTTTCGTCTTGGCGCGCAGCCGAAGGTTCGAGAAGTGGATGAAAGATTTGATTACACATCGTCCTTCGCGCAAGCCATCGACGCTATCAGTCACAAAGTTGCGGGCCCGCGAGACAAAGCTACCGCATGCGAGCGCGTTGGGCGTAAAGGGCGGAACGACGTTCGTTTGCGTGCGCCCTCGAGGCGGCTCGAGGCGCATCTATTTACATAACATTAAATTAGAACGCGTCAAATTCGACTATCAAACGGCGACACCTTCTTCAGCCTCTGCAGGCTCGGCTAGAAATTCTTGTAAGAGATATCCCTACGTCTTTATCAAGTGCGGGCAAAAGGGTTTTTGATTTAACAAATTAGGCTGACGCAAGGGAATGTTGGGTAACATTTTTTGATTATCGTTGAAGTGTGACGAAATTTGTTGCAAGCAAAGTTTGACTGTTTAGTGAGTAAACTTGAGAATAAACGGCGCACTTCGCACGAACTCCTCATCCGAGGAGTGGAGAGTGGCTTAAGAACGTCACAGGATAAATCATGTGGACTTAGCGTACCTTCTGACGGCTTCTCGAGTGATGCATGGGTGCATCACTCACATCTTCCAGCCAATGGAAAATCTGCACCTAGAAACTTTCACTTTATCAAAATAATTACAATTTATCTCAGGATATTAAGATATAGCATTGATTAGGTGTTTAGGCATGTAAATTAACGCTCACATATTATAACATTAGTACACAACATTAGCTAACCTGGTTATAAGCTTACAGACTCAAAGGACAACAGTACAAGGTTGATGAGATCCGCTGATCCTAGACAAATAGAGCGGTGAGCACTGCGACAACAAACGTGCCTAATTATCTAGAATCGACCAAGCATCACCATACAATGACAAGTGATCCTAGGCAAACGTTTATGTAGAGCTTTGTTCAAGAGAAAGCAGAGTTAGCACTATATTAAAAAATACTACAAAAATGGCAAAGAAATTTGAATGTAAATTAACATAAATTCCTATTCGGCCTCAAGCAACTAAAGAATAAATTTGATTAAATTTGAAAATGAGAAATCCAACTACTCATACTCCGCCAACAATGTCATATATTTCCTTTAGTCCTCGCACATTTTAATTAATCCATCCAACCAAACGACACAACAATGAAAAGTAACCGTTTTACCGCTGTACAGCACTCGATGCGAGTCGACAAGGTAGAAAATTACTCCGCGCAACTTTTGATAAACTTTCGCTCATTCAACTTCCGCAATGGATTTCAGATTTACGCCTCACTCATTCTCCCGTGTTTCCATGTAGCAGAATGTAACTCATTACGTTAGCAACACAATGCGCATTAACACATCGCGCCTAACTTTTGTCACATTTTCAATGACAGCGTTTGCAAAATGTAATATTCCCGGTGCTGCTGCAACCAGCATGCATTATTTTGCCGTACCTGTGAGTTTGTAAGCAAGAACAATTGCAGGTGCAATTATACCAGATAGAACATGCAACAACAAGGATAGAACTGTGCGAGGATATGTAATTGCCGAAGGGGGTGGCGATTTGATTTACCTTGGTTAGGCGCAGTCATATTCCTAAGCGTGAATCGGAAATGCAGAATAAAAACACAGAAAACAATTACACAAAACAAACCGCACTGGGAATACGCACACAGATATAAAATGCACGTGAAAGCAGAGGGGTGCAAGCGTCGTACGCGTCCTGGCGTGTTCCCGCTTTGTGTATTTTGAGAAAGCCTTGGGGCATTGTTTGGATAACTATTCCGTCCTCCCAAACCATTTCTATCCATGCCTAACCGTTATCTCCATTTAGCCCTTGTGCTAGGGTGGAATTCTCATTTCAATTGGGATGAAAATCATGCAGGGTACACACCGCAGGAGGGGCACAATATTACCAGCTGTTACACAATTTTTGTATTGATTTTTATCATATCCGCTTAGGGAATATCTGAAAATAACTTCGAATGTCACAATTTAATGAGCAAGTTTAACATTGATTTATTTGTCCTTCAAAAGAAACATTTCGCTGTGATAATCACCGGTTGACATGTTATATCATGCCAACAACGTCCGGCATATCGAAATAACTTGAAATAATAACAAATTATGAATTATGTATTAATTTTACATAGTTTTGGACGTTGTATAGTTTCTTTTACAATCATTTTTTGGAACGTTTATTAAGGATGTAACAGTTGACGTACATCTAACGGTTTCCAGCGTGTTTGTGTTTTAACATTTGTTTAGGCTTTTAACATTTCAGGTTAAATTATGCTTCATTAAGAGTACGATTCTATTAGTTGCTAGTATGTACAATTATGACACAGGATACTTAGTTTTATCAATTAGCGTATCATGCATCGACATATTTTTTGTAAATCTTAAACAATCGTCTTAGTAGGAAAACATCGGCGCTTATCAAACATTTCGTTTATGTACATATTCGTTTCATTTCATAGGTAATATTTAATTAAAAAGTGTCTTAATGGAATATTAATAGTGTGTATCTATCTTAAAATAAAAAAAATAAGAAATTTATTTTTGAAAATTTGAACTTTTTGTGACAAATTTAGAAAAATAATTAATAAACTCAGGTACTATTTGTCTATGACTATGGTTTCGTTTTATAATATTTAATTCCAATTAAGAATTTACATATTATTTTTGTCAAATAAAATTAACAAAGTATCCGAATATTCCAAATTAACTTAGGAAAAGGAATGTTATATTAATCTCTGTGGATGTAACCTATAAATGATTTATTATTGACTTGAGTTCCAAAACTGTTCGATAACTCTCGTCCGGGATTTAGTTTTTGGATATGTCTACGATACATACAATATTTATTACTTACGAGTAATGTGTGTTTGTTTGTGTGTGAGTGTGGGGTTAGTAAAACTGCAGGCCTTCCAAACCAGTCAACAGAATATAAAATTAAGATTTATCAACACCTCTTTCACTCGTATCCATTTTTTGCACCTGGCACATTTCTCTTTTACTTCACGTCTTTTTTTGATTCAACTCAACGCACTTGTTCGTTCCCGTGTTCACAATTTCACATTTTCACCCATCCGTATCTTCTTTATCATACTCTATCATCCCCGTCGTAAGCGTTTAAAAGTTATGTTGTGTTAGTTGTCACCGAGCGATAATAATCATCGATGCGGCAAGCAGCAGACGGTGGACGACGGCGGCTGCTGCCGCCTCCGCGCCGCCCGACGCCGAGATCGTCTCCAATTCGAGTGGCGCCGGTGCCACGCTGGGAAACAACCAATTCTCGACGGGGTCCTCCTCGATCGCCTGTTGTCGATTGTGATGATGCACTTTTATCGCATCTACACACAGCAACAAACAAGTCACACAACTTTGCCAAGTTCAAGAAATTTTAAACTCGCAGCATGAGAAATTGCTGGCTGGCGCTAACAAATTGATGACGGTTAACAGATGTGGCAAAAAATAGAGTTCTTGTATGCAATTTCAGTGATTACTTACCACGAGCGTTGCTGCTGCCAAATAAGTTTATTTTTGTGGATAACTCTGTGAACAAAGAAAAGTTTGTTAAGTTTTAAAGTTAACAATAATATCATTACTTGGCGAGAAATATATACAACAAAGACTGTAGAATCAGCGTGTTTTATCAATGCTATAATAATATTATATTACAAATGTGATTGTTAGAGAAGGAAATTTTGATTAAACTTTGCTATGTTTATGCTTATAAATTACACATGAAAAGTGTACAATAAAGAGGAATATTTGTTTAAATCATGATATTAGTTTTATAAATCAACACGAGATAGCACTAAGATTTTTAAGTCTGAAAATCACAACACGCTGAGTCAGTTGCCTCGCAACTGTTGAGGCAGCAAAACGCTCCCAAGGTCGGCGTGTGCTGAATTTTTATCAACAGTCTTTTATTGATATTTATTCACAATAATATTCTGAACGCAATAAGATTGTTTCCAATATATATACATTTTTAAACGAAGCGAATTTGGAACGTGTCGCTCGAATAAAATGTGTTCGATCAGAATTCTTTTGTGCTGTGACAAAGACGCGTTTTTAATTATCAACTTTCAATTGGAGTTTAAATTGCTTTAAACGGGTCAAAAATCTCGAAAAACTTTGAGGCACTCTAGCGTTATTGAAGTTTTCTGCTCGTTCAGACTTTGCTCATTTTCCCATTTCTCAAACGGCGTAATGTTTTCCTCGCACATCCGAAATGGAACTGGACGAGGACGTCGATCGAAATTGGAACGCCAAGAGTATTGAAAGTATTGAAAAAGCGCGAGGAAAGATTTATTTAGGACTCACGCCTTCGCGCCGGAAAAGTTGGCCGCGCACGCGGGCACATCCGGCCGTGAGCGAATTTTTATAGACATCGAGATATTATTCACGCCGTTTACCGTCCCGCAGTTGAAGCAGAAGCAGGGGGAGAGAGTTTTCGGCGCCCCGTGACTTTAAACTAGAGAATTCTCGCAAAGGTGGATCACACGGTTTGCTCAACGTAAACGCAATCGAGGATGATCCGCGTCGAATTTTCTCTTTTCGCGTGCGGGAAGAGAGTCCCGTCCGAGAGAAATCGACAGCGACGGAGAAAAGTCCACAAATCAAACGCCATTTGTCTGCCGGACCCAGATGGGGCTTTCAACTTTTCCTCCGCTTCCCGCTTCGATTTTCCACTCGCGCTTCTTCTACTCCTGCTGCGGCAAGCTTTCACCCTCCGACGTTTTGGATGAATGTTAGTTTTTTTCTCGGCGGCGTGCGAAAAATGTCTGCGCATATCGTCATTTTCGCACGGTCCTCGAGCGGCGGTGGAGGCAGTGGTGGCGGTGGTGATCGATCATTTACTACGCCTGAAGGTGTTTCGCTAGTGGTAGTGCGCGACGTGCCACATAAATAAAACTTTGCGCACCCTCCCGACACAGTTTGGGGATGCGACGCGCGACGCACGAACGAGCGAGCGAACGAATGAACGTTCGAACGTCTTTAACGCTGAAATATTACATTTTAAGCAGGATAACACAGGAAAAATTTACAATTTATTCTGTATCCGGCCCGGTTTCTTTGAATTCACTTGAGTTTATTGCGTTTTTGGCACAATATTCAATATTATTGCAAATGAAATATTGAAATATGAAAATTTGTTTTGTTTAGTTTTTTTTATATACATACAAAACTGTTACAATAACATATCCTTGGCATTTATATGAATATGTAGTTATATGTTTACCACAACATCCCATTCTCGAAGTTGTAACAGGGAATATATGATGAGGATAAACGAGCAAAAATAGTTTCGGTCTTTAATGGTTTTCGGGTTGACCGCGCCGGAAGCCACAGTGTACACTCGCGCATTGCCAAATTAATCAAAACATTAAACTCTGGGTGGTTCTCTCTCGCCTGTTGTACACTTACCTGTGCTGGTTGTGGTGGAAGGCCGCGGCGTCGTCGTAGTCGTCGTGGTTGTGGTTGTCGTGGTCGTCGTCGGTATTTTCACCTCTGCAACAAACCATCCCACATCAAAACAATAAACGAGCCGTGAAATAATCGCACTTTAGAACACATAACACATTTCACATAACTTGTATGCGTAATTTGCGTGCATGGTTTGAGGGTTGTAGCGGATGTTAGGGGTTCCTGGGGGCTAACGGGGCTAAATTTTATTTAATGGCGCAAAAATTTACCAAACAATCTGACGGCGCCATCTGCTTTCCCCATCTGGTTAGAAGCATAGCATTTGTAAGTGCCGTAATCGGACTCTTCTACATTCTGAATAATCAACATCATTGTCACTTTGTTGGTTCCGGAGATGCGTTTTTCTTGTACCATGTGTTTTTGGCTAGAACAAAATTTTTAATCAAATTATAAAAATCCGTATGCAATACTTTGGTGTTTTAGGTTGTATTCATCATTTTTAACCATGTCTCAATTTTTCGCACCTGTTTAGAACGTTGGCATCGTTATCCTTGATCCAGTAATTGATCGCAGTGGGAAACGCCTCGACGTCGCACTTCAGCTTTGCGTTGGTGCCGATGGCAGCTCCAACCAGAGGCTTCATCACTTGTATGCTCGGCGGGACTGCAAAAACCAAACTTTTTCACAAACCAGCCAAGAGTATGACGAGTAGAAAAATTTTCAGCCTCTGATTAACACCTGACCAGACAAAGTATAACGAAAAAAAGTGCCCACACATTTTTGATATATTATTCTGACTTTAAAACAACGCAAAAAATGATGCAAAAACTGCGCAGAAAAGAGAAAAAGTGTGAAAAGTGAATGTTGTCACGGGTAAAAAATCAATCAAAATCAAATATGTGCGCCGCTTCACGAGCGCGTACATTTATCAGCGTCAGCGTCTAGACTTTTCTCAAAATATGATGTAAAAACAATGTTTCCTTTATTCCATTTGCAAAAAATATCGCAAAACGAAATAATGTATAGTTGCATTTATTACGTAACTTTGACTAATTTTAAATCGTGCTTTTAATTTTTTGTACTGTCAGAAAGGTAATTGCTGTCGCAATAATGAGTTAATATTCAACATTATATTACTTTTATATAATGTCGTTTAACAACTCATTGCAACTCTCAACTCCGTCTAAAGTACTCGTTTCCGAGTAGATTTTCCAATTAATCCTCTCGCATTTAAATGAATTTCTCACAGTTACGCGAATGGACAAAAGCTCCTGGGGGATGGTGGCTTCCGCGAAAAACTTACAGTTGATGTTGAGCGTGATGCGTTTGCTAACCGCCGGCGGGACATCGTTGCTGGCGATGCACAAGTATGCGCCCATCTGACGACGATCGGCGCGGACGAGTTGGAGCGTCGAGCCGCTGAACGTGTCCGCCGCTGCTGAAGAGAAGCGAGAAAAACCGTTCCACGATTACAACAATGAAATAACGATTTGCATTTGCATACTCGAGCTGGGCGGGCGCCTGTCGGGAAATGGGAAACGAGCGCGACATACAAATGCGACTGGGTTACAAGCGGTAATCTACAAATGACAACTCCGGACATCGGCATGAATCTCTCGCGAGCGCTCGGCGAAGCAAAATTTTTTGTTCTTTGTTTATTGCTGCGCGCGGAATTAAAACGTTCGGGCGTAATGAGCGATGCTTCAGTAGTGTATGCGCTTCGGAATAATATGCATCGCTCAAGAACGAGTTGCATTATGTAAATACACGGTGAAAACTCAACTGTAGATTTATTTGAATATGCATAGGTAGATTTGTAAAATTTGGAAACCAAATAAAACAGATTTTTATTCCCGCATACAATATCCGACTCATACACATCCGAAGTGAATAATAATTAAACCTTCAAAATCAATATTTTTATGAACTGATCAAACGAATGTAATAAAAAAAAATATTCTCGTTGTATTCACTATGACCGCATCAGTTACAAGCTAGGCAATATTGAAGAAAATAAACCGGCTATAAAAAAGAAGATTAAAGATCAATCAAGACTGTCCGTAACACATGCGCTTCCGATATTTTCTCAAAGAGCGGCCCAGAAAATTGAATTTTTTCCCCGACCGTAATCCACCCGGATTGATCTATCCACCAGCACGGCAAGGGAAAGACAAAGGATTAATTGCCTTTTCGGCACGTGCATGTGCTTTGGTTTTATCTCTGTTAGTTAGCGAACGAAATGGTGCAGTTTATGCGGTAATAGACTTGCCGACATCGCCGCCTCCGCTTGCCGCGATGCGTCCCGAGTCCTCTCGGCGCCACAGGATCCTCGGCGGTGGGTGACCGGTGGCGCGACAGATCAGCGTGACGTTGTCTCCTTCCGGTATCGTCATGTCGGCGCTGGTCGTCTCGTCGTCGATATCCGGCGGCACTGCAACAACCAAAAAGCACATAAAGTATGCGGACTCGGCGACAAACTTCCAGCCGGGCTTTCACGGAGTTGTTATGCTTTACGACGCCTTTCGCCGGAAGCGTGAGGAGGTATCGTTTGTCTCCGCACCGATAAGCGGCCGCAGCAAAGATGGACGTTGATGTAATAAGGAAGGCGAGCGGAAGGACGTTCCGGGCAGGCTTCGGATTCCGGCCTTCATTAGTTTTCACTTAACTTCTCCGGTCACGTCATGAGCGGAGTGTGTCGAAGCGTTTCGCTTCGATTTTCTTTGGCTTCTACAACTTCGACGCTGAGCGTCTCTATGTGTGTTTGCAGCGCGTGGAGAATCGTAAAATTTTTGCTGAACAATTTTCGCGCGGAGGACAATAAGGTGTCGATTTCATTTCTTGCCAATTTTCTTCGTTTTTGCTATGCTTCCAATAAGATTTTTCACGCGCAAGCAAAAGTTTCAATTGAAAAGTTTTTGATAATATTCACTTAGTGAAAGGTTTCTTAAAACGTTCATAACAAATTTATATATAGTAGATAATATAATACGTCGATTTTCCATACAATTGAGCAAAAAAACTAAAACATACTTTTTATATCATCCTGTTACCTTTGAAAGTTTCACCTTTACTTAATTCAATGGCAAAACGACAAAATTGATTTTCTTTATTCGATTTTTCACTCAGTGTACGCACGTGTGACTACATAAATTGTGTTCAACGATGGCGAGTCGATCAGACCCCGGTGCCATTTCACTGATAAGCTTCACTACGCCTGGGTAGTGTGTTGCGCAATGAACTGTACTATTGTGGTAATAAAGTGGCTCCGTATCTCACATCTCACCTTCCTACTAGTGCGATATCTGTCCGACTGGTTAAATGGCACGTGCGAATATTTTTCGTACGTGACTCGGACACAGCAAAGAAAAAAATCATGATAAAAGTAACATCGCATAAACATCTCTGAAAAATACTTACATTTTCATTAAAAAAAAAGAACAATTTATTTAAATTTCGTATGTTTATAAAGGTTTTGATATTTCTCGTGAGCGTTTGCAGTTGTGTTATTTCTGAGTACCCTTTTCGGAATGTAATTGTGGTCCTTGCGGGAATGTCTGCTGCAGGTAGGTACAAAGTGCAAAACTAATATTGAAAGTATCAGCTCGGAGGCGCGGGCAACACAGTCGTTACGTTTTATTGGCAACGCGACGACCCGCTCTGTATACACTCACGCGCGATTGAGCACGCCCGACCGGGAATTCGAAATTTGTTAAAATCTCCTCGTAATAAAAAAACACCCCAAACGGATTGAACACACATTGCGGTATAAATTTGCGCGCGACAAACGGCGGAAAATTTTCAATTGCGCTGTGACAAGTGCCACAGAAGGTGCGGCACTGTTGAAGTGGGTGGTAAGCGTTAGAGGGTAAGAATGGCAGTCAGTCACCGGTGAAGGCGAAGGTGACGGTGACGTTTTATGTGACAGTGTCGGCTGTCGGCACTATTTCTCTTTTTTTCGCGTCGCTTGATATTCAGTTATGCGGGCGAGCGGGTGGAAAATTTCGAAATCAGGTGTGCTGGGTGGGCGCAAGGGGTGCAAGTCGCGGCCGAATATCTGAAAGTGTAATGAAAGGGCTTTTTCGTTTCGAATACGAAATGAGTGGCACGTCCGCTCGCAAAATATGTATGTGCGCGCACGTAACATGCATACCGCAACACCGGGTGTCACGGGGGGTGGCAGAAGAAAATCCTACTTGGGAATCAACACGCGCATCTATCTGCCAAGGCACTTTTAGCAAATATTCGTCTATTTAAACAAGCATTTTCAAATACTAGCAAAAAATATAATGCAATATCTGAATAACGGGCAAAGAAAGATTGAAATATAAAAATACTAAACTACACAATATATACTTTATAAATAAATATTATCTGCGTTTTCAGTTTAACCTTTCAGAAATCTATAAATATAAATATAAAACGAAGTGGGGTTAGTTACAGCGTTTATAACTCAAAATCGGTCGGACATATTTTAATGATCTATGATTTGTTGAATTCGTCTCCGCTCAGAATAGCAGAATAACTATTTAAACATAAAAATTTACGATATGAAGAGTGTTAAATAAGAGATATAAATTGGTATAGAGATTCAATCATAGCTAAGTAATTGACATTATTTGCAATTTTCATTTTTGTTTAAATAAAAATAGATTTTGATAAAAAAAATAAAAATCACTAAAAACTAATGTGATGAAGTTGCGGTGAAAAGCTATCAAATAAAAGTTAATTATGCTGAATTTGATAACCAGCTTTTATTTTCCTAATATGCGTCAAAACGCAAAACGATAACATTACCCAGACCGTGTACAAAAATGGGTCAATCATCTCCTGAAAACGTAGGCAAACGCGGAATAGGTGACGCAGCAATTTAATAATTTTATTCTCGTCTTCTTATTCCCGCCATCATCATGACGGTGTGCTGGAAGAGGCAAAACAAAAAGTGAAAACATTCCAATCTCGTAAAGAAAACTCAGGACTTTGCCGAGCAGGAACAAAACGACGATAACAAGGCTAAAATAACCCGAGAATGTACGAGACACATCCCCTGCTCAAAGACGCAAGGTAGGATAACACTTGGCTATCCTCGCAGCACGGCCATATAATAGGAGCGGAAAAATTGTTGTGTAATCCGGCTCGTTGGAAATAATTCACGTGCCGCTCGCGTCCTGCGTCCTTTCGCGGACGTAAAACTTTTATGCGCGCCTTTTAGCCGACGGCGCAGAACGACGCCGGCGACCGTAAAGCAGATGACAGACAAGCGACGTGCGGAGGTAAAGAAGCAGGCGATTGTGGGATGGTGCAGGAGGTTGGGTGGGCTTACACTTAAACTTAGCGCCTTGAATGGCCGTCGGTGCTTAGTTTCGGTTTTAAGGTCCTTATGGCCTCCTTACGCTTTGCTTATGCACCTTAAGAGAAAGACAATAGCAGCGTGCGTTATCAACTTTATTATAGTTTCCAACGCGCGTTTAAGTGCAGTAAGAATGAAAACATGAAAGCATCAAAATAATAATTAATGTACACACAGCATTTTGCACTAGTGGATAAAAAAATCGCTCATATTTTATTTAGACTGCAATAATTTTTATCATAAATTCAAATCTGAGCCAGTACCCAATCTGGAATACTCCATTCTTCCTTTTATACCCTTCGTCATGGTCGTCGTTTTTTCTTGTCTCAATATTCCATCTTGGGCTGTTCAATTTTTCATCATTTGAGCCCTGTGTCCGCGAAATATGCCCCAGATCAATTCCACTTTGTCTTGCACGCCAAACTCGAAGAATACGAGCGCATAAAACACAAAAACGGTAGCAATAAAAAAGTCAATAATGAGCTCGATAATAAAGCCAAATAAAAGCACGAAACTTAATTTTTAAGCTTATGGTAGAATTACGACCTTGAAGGGCTTCGATATCTTACTATATCTCCAAGGATAACTTTCAACAGCTTCAACCGGTACGTAATTCAAATATATCTTGCAATATTTTCTCAATGCGTTGGAAATAAATAAAAAGAAAAAAATATATTATCGAAAATTAAGTTAGTAAAACTCGAGATAATAAAGAATCTTTAAAAGACTAAGAAAATACTATAAAAGGACTAAAAACATAAAAAGTTTATATAGCATGCCATAAAATCATATCTCAACTGGATGCGCTTAGAAATTTCTTTTTTATTACGCCTTATGAATTGATTTTCGCGTTGAGCAAATTGGACGCGAAGTCGCCTTGAAGAACGAATTCATTCCGCAAGCGGTGCAAACTTATCCTCATTGTCTGGCGAGCGCGTTCACACGTTTAACTCCACTTAGTCGCCTAAAGCGAGCGCTCTCTAATTGAGATCCTCGTTCTTTATCCTTTTATTCAAGACCCGCCAACCGTAGCACGTCCCTGCTATCCTTCAACAAAGTAATTAACAACCGCATTAAGAGATCAGAAGCCAAACACTCGAGTCCTCTTTTTCTACTCGAAGCGGACACTTTTACTTTAGCACTTTTGTACTTTGTACACTTTGGCACTTTGACGCTTGTTGAGTAAAGTTTGAGGGGCCCTTGAGGATGATATTTCAGGGTTGCGGGTTTTAAAGGAGGTCGGACGGGCGCGCGCGCTCTCACCTTGAACGTCGATGCAGCCGATGGTTTTCTTCATAGCGCCTGTGTTGATTTGACACATGTAGCAACCGCCGTCGGACTCCTTCAGTTGGCGGATGCGCAGCTGCCATGTCTTCAGCTGGTCGTCGTGCGTGACGGATATCCTTGGATTGTGTGTGATCACTCGAGTGTGCAAGCTCAGGATCGTTTGATCGTCAGCCTTCATCCAACCAACCTGCAAGTTAGAAATAAAACATTGATTTAAATATTTTCGAATATTAAATAAACCTGTTTGATAACATTATATCAGCTATTATTGCACACTGAAGCTTTATTTAGTTATTGAGTTTCCAATTTCAATGTGAACAATTTCATTAACTGTATTGATTTAAACTTTACATGTATTCACACCTTAAAAGTGCTTAAAACGCACTCCGTTAATGAAAGAATAGCGAAACGTGAAATAACGACGAAAGTTCCCAACAGCCTAAAGCACCCCGCCGAGTCCCACAACCTTGCGAAGCATTTAACTGCGAATGCTAAACTATTAGAAAAGTTTAATAGTTTTTCATGTACTTTACAAATTTATGAGTTACACGAACTTCTGCGCTGCACCAAGATATAAAACCTTCCTACATCTCTCTGAAAAAAACCATCGCCCGCGCCTGGAATCACACAAGATAATTTATAAGTTTCTAAAGAAGCATTCACTTCGCATCTCGCATTTTAATCGTTATTTATGTTACATGTTGCTATTACTACGCGCACTAAAATGCCAAGATAGAAAAACGGACAAACATTTACGAATCTATAAACTATTTGGAATTTTATTTCGTTTTTCTTCGAAGCGTTAGGGTTGGATACTGGAGAGTAAAGTTTTCTATTTTTGTGCCTTCTGCATACGTGATGCGAATGTGATGTCCCTGCAGAGCATACTTGGCAATTAATTTTAATAGATAAACAGTGGACGGCCCAGGACCACCGCTGGTGAAATACAGGATGGCTGAACTGGGTGTAATAAAAAGCCTTTTAATTTTGTCCTTTCCGCGGGCAGGACCAGCCATTCGAGGCTTATAAGAACGTAAAATGCATTTAGAATTTTAATGAGATTTTACTTCTTCATTTCCTTTAAGGATATTTAGATTTTTATTGCATTGTACGAAGAATTCAGATTAAAAGTTTTTTCTTTTAGTTTTTGTAATGCAATATTAACTCAACAATACTAATTTGTTTGTTTTTGTTTGATAAAGCAACAGAGAATACATTTTTTCTAGTTTAGATTCCAAATATTGTATTTCCGAATTGTAAAGAAAGTTTATTTTCTCAAAGTAAAAGGAAAATTGAAATTTGTTTATTTATTTGTGTATTTATTTTACAATAAATCCCGCTTGTGCAGCTGTAAAGGTCACATATATATTTATACAAATATTCTGCAGCATCTGTTCCGGACCAGTGATTTATAAATATTTGTATTTTTCTCGTACTCGTGAGAAAAAGCGACTGCTTTGTTCATGTAGAGAACATAAAAATATTATGCATTGCTTAGTTGCGGCTCGAAAATCTCCGCGGCATCGATAAGTACTCGCATGTCTCCTCCGTATTCTGATTGGCAGCGAGCGATAAGTGCGCCCAGAAAAGAAGATATCGAAGATGCGCGCTGAGAAGCAGAAAACCGAGAGTATCTATTTTAAATAAGTAGGTAGTAAGTAGTAAGTAGGAGTCGATGCCGAACGCGGCGAGCATCTCAAAGCGCATAGCGTGCATTGTTAGCTATTGTTATTTAAAGTTCCTTTTTATTTCCACTCCCGAAGGATTGCGCGTTACTCCATTCCGACGCGGTCGGTTTGCACTCGCGTAAGACGCTCACGCCCGCGATGGATCTCGGATGCGAGATACATTCGCATTTGGATTTTATTTTGCTGCATTTCGTTTGGGGGCGGTACGCGCCGGCGGGGTGTTTTGGTTTATTTTCAGCCGTAACTTTCCATTTGCGCTGGCGTCGGAAGAGTCTTATCAGCCGGCAGTTAATAAGGAAAGATATTAAAATGTCGGCGAACGTAATTGAAATGTATCTTAATTTAATTTACTAGTCGAATTCCTTTGAACTAAAGAAAAATGTTAAAATGTTGCAAGGTTACAAATTACCTTGATGATGAGAAAAAATTAAAATTGCACCAAGAAGAATATCAATCTGTTTTAATAGGTTTTATTAACTTTCTTTCTATTTTAACTTGCAATTTCACCATATTTCTCGTACAAAATCACCACAAATTTAAAATATCTCAATGAGAAACTCAGAAAAAAGAAAACCAAAAATAAATACTTTTTATTCTTTCACTGCATATGAAGGATGTCCTTAGTAACCTTAATAAAAGTGAGGAATTTTGTATAACTTTTATTCCCGGAAAAGGATAATCTTACCCTTGGCACTTAACACAAGATCAACTTCAGTTCAAACATGCAAATTTGATATCTAAGGCTGTATCACATTTATCAGGTTATCTTTACCACGCAACGCTGAGAGTAAACGATCTATTTGCAAGTCTCCAAAGTATACATTGATATCGGAGACATGCATAATCGCCGGGAGCCCGTCTCGGCTCGGTGCTAAATCAATGCATTGTGCGAGGGAGCGGTTAACCCTTTGGCGGCAATCGTCATCTAACATTCGAGTGGCATCCGACATTCCAGCCGAAATTACGAGCCGACACACATTCGTAATCATTATTGGCTGAGGTAGTTTTGCACCCCCGTGAGTCAAGCCGCCTTCGAGGAACCCTCGGGGGATGAAATGTGTGCGGAGCGAGCATTCCGAGAGTTCGGCATCCTTTTGTCTCAGAGCATACCTAGAAAGTGATATTAATTCAACTTGGAAATATCGACGTGATTTATCGCCTTTTGCCACCATACCGCAACCGCGGCACACCCTCAGGCGGCCGCTATCAACCCCTTGTCATCCACTATTTAGTTATCCTCCAAATTGTCAATGATAAAATGACATCGCGATGATATGATATTGTCAAATATTTAGAATTTACGTTAAAAATTGCTTCACATGTTTGCTCAACATTTTCCAAGGGATGGTTGGAAAAAGGGTGAATAAAATTGTGTTCAAACAGGGTTGTAACACACCGTGAAGGAATTTTTTCCGGAATTTGTGGACCATTCGGCGACACGCTTCGCAAATTGCCAAACGACTGAAAAATGCGGACGCGAGCCAACCCCAGCACAATACGGCTTGGTGGATAAAATCAAAAAAATGTGGGCACGAGCAATCTCGGCGCGCTCCGTCTCCCAAATCGAATGCATCATTAACGTAATTTTATTTGTCTTCCTGCGATAGACTCACCTTGCGCTTGGCTCCATTAAAATGAGTCCCGATTGAGCGCATCTTCGGTTGGGGACAGCGGGGTAGAATGAGGTAGTAGCATTGATGATGTGCTGCTGATGGCTTCGAATTTTACGTCGCTGCGCTTCGATCGCGCAACGTAACAATAAAAATCCGTTTTCGTTGCGAATTGCGAAGAGCGAATTACGCCCCGTAACTAACTACCTCGTCTTCCCTTCGCCCCATCTTCTCCAGTTTCGTATTATTCGTTAACCTAAGAAATACAGACCTCGTATTTCGCCCTCATCGTAAAATCTTTTTTCTAATTCCCATTCAAACATTTCCACGCTTTTCTTTCAGCATCGCTAATTTTCCAATATCGATTGTTTCCACAACCCTTAAATTATACAAAATTTAAAGGGAGCATCGTTAAAATTAATTATCCCTACCGGCCAAACCCCTATAAATTCCAAAATTTCGCACTTTTTTGTTTGTTTATTTTTGCATGTGTTTCATGTTTTCAGTGTGGGGTGAAAGTAGAAATTGGGAAGTTGGAAGTCATTCATCTTTCGGCGTTAGGAATGCCTGGCCACGTGTGGGAGTACGATAAAACGAATGCCCATAAAAACAGGATGCGAATGTTTTCCATGCGCTAATAATTTTCATTCGCACAGGAGGAGGGAGATGCAAGGGTGGACTCGCTGGACATTCTTTGGTGTCCGGTGGCGCGCGCCCGGCGGAGCAGAAAAAATACGACGTCATAAATGCGCTCGTGACCCCCGCCCCACCGGCGCCTAACCCCTCGCACCCTGGGCGTGATCCCGCGCCCTGGCTAACAGGATCCTTTACAACCGGTAATAATATCGCATATAATGCGCACCTAAATCATCGCTTTATCGAATTTATACGTAATAACACTCGTGCTCTCTGCTTTTGGTTCCTACTTTCACACTGGGAGATGATATACAATGTGTCTAGAAAAATTATAGACTCGCGTCTTTATATCATCCACAAATTAAAACAAAATAGTAAAAATCTTTTTGTGTTTATTCAAAGACATTCTATATAGCTATGATTCAATTATTGTAGGTATTGTTTGCTATTAGGTGTTGTCCAGAAGCAATAATTTTCATTATAGATTTGGCATGTGGAGTGAAAGCATTATTTCGATTCTGCTTTGAATCCGCTTCGGACCGTATCGTACATTTGTTAAGCTTGCATCCTCGCACCCTCTAGTTCTCTATTAGCTGGGCAAACAACAAAACTCTCAACGCACGCAACGCGCGCCGCGTTTGCGTAAATTTGTACCTCAAAGCGTAGTCGGGTTTGGGAGAGTCGAGTCAATTTCGTAAGTTATTTCAATGTTTGCACGCGACTAATTTCTGCCTGGTGTTTCAGTGGGCGGCGTGAACCTAGCTCGTAATGAAGTATGCCGTACGCTGGCAATTATGGTTCCATACGTGCGCTGTATCAACCAAATATCAGTGTAAAATCAGCGGTATAATTGGTTTACTGTGATGTATTATGTAGAATGTAAAAACATGTTAAAATTTATAATTCATTGTTGATTTGAGAAGGAATTGACAATTATACGAATTAATTTGGGCAATATTTTAGATAATGGTAAAACTACTAAAATGAAATATAACAGATTAATGAATTATAAATTAAAATATTTTTTTAATCAAATAACCGAATAATTTACACATAAAATGTATTCATTGCTAAGATATTTCTGAAGCTGAATGCAGTTTTCCAGATACCGTCGTCACGCCCTTTATTGAAATTTTAGTACTCTAGTAAAAAAATAGTAATTTTCTACTTCCACCTTTATAACGTGTGTTTTTCACTATTTTGAGACACAAAAAGTGGTAATTTAAACACGGACCAAGGCAAGCACACTGCCTTCATCACGGTTTTTAGTCACGGAGTGGAGCTTGCTGGCTATTCGCTATTTTTACTACTAATTATCTAATATCTCTATAACAAAAAAAATTTTTTCTAAATTCTTTCTAAGAAATGAAGAATCAAATTGTTACCGGAAAATAACAAAATTTGTTCTTTGTATTTGAATTTTTTCTGACAATATTTTGTCAAATATATTATTAGAGCTGTTGTTTCAATAAACATACACATCTCCTACCCACAAATCTCGCAGCTTATTATTTACCAGCCTACTCACTATTCAAATCAGATAAGCCAATGTGTTATATGCCTCGTAAAGTAGCACAGAAACGCGCGACATAAATACGTTCCAAGGCGATAACGATAAAAATAAAAGAATTATGAAGACGCTTATTGCCTTATTGCGATTATTGTCAGAATACATATAACATTATCCGCCATTCCGAGCTTCCTCCGCGTTTCCTTTGTCTTTTTTTCGTCGGGCACCCTCAGAATTTCCGGAGACGCACTGCTCTATTAAAGGTGCCCGGGAACAAACGACGGCGACGACCAAAGAGTTCTATTCCGCCTCATTCCGAATCGTTATTTCCCATTCTTTATTCTGTCGATTCGCTTAACTCCGCTTCGGGCCGATTTAAGTTTCAATCTGTTATCCTGATTGTGCTGAGCGGCGCGAGTAGAAAATTTCGAATGTAAATTGCGAGTTGAAATCTATGCATCGCTTAGATGTCGCCTCTCTTACCTTATATTGCCCCAGCTCGGATACGATGCAACTGAGTACCGCCTCTCGGCCGACGGCGACGGTCACGTTCTCAATTGGACCGGCGAAATTTGGATTTGCTTCGCTGCCAGACTGGCTGGACGATGCGTCGACTGGTCCTGTAACAAGAAAAAAATGAGTAGAAGAAAATGAGCAAAAAGCTTTTTGTTTTGTTTTGTTTTGGAAAAATCCAAATGAACAATTAAGCTTTTTCCATCGGGGAATTACTAAATCACTGACGTTGTAATTTTGCTGAGCTAGCAAGTATGAAAATTTGATTCATCATTCAACACAATAGTAACTCAGAGACATAAATAATTCTGCGATGAAAAATAAAATAATTTTTTAATTCTGTTGCATGATATTTTTATTTTATATAGAGGTGAATCATATTTTTAATTTGTAATTGGATTATTTTTTGATTGACATTGTAATAGAGCCGTATTATCACTTTCACTTTTGCAATATCAAGCTCGCAATGTCTGATGCCAATTTTGCTTATTTTCAAGAGTAATTGATTTCCCAGACACCCTGTATAATCCGCTGCTAGCTCGCATGAAATTGTGTAATTTAATAACGAGCCCGTGACACGAACGTAATTACGCCCTGGCGCTGCCACCGCCGCCGAGGACGAACGGCATGACTTGCACGAATCGCTCTCGTGCGACTTTACTCCGCTTCGTAGTGGAAGCACTAGAGAGTGATTCGCCGAGAATAGCCATCCGTCCTAACGTGGAACGCCAACATGTGGAGCGTACCCGACCACAGCATCACCGCCGCCGCCACAGCCAGGACTCCTTCGAACTTTCCGGCAACAGCTTTGTAACGCGCGGCAATTGCAGAAAACTTCACTATTACGAAAAGTCGAAATTTGAAATGCCGTGCACTTATAGCCCCAACGCGGAAAACTTTGAGCCTGCAGGCGCATGGTTTTGCAATAATTTCTGGATAATGAGAGTTTGTGGTGGTCGGTGTGGGGCGGCATCGTGATGATTAAATGAGCGACGGTTTCGTGCGTCATTATTCTATTCGTCATGCGAGGCGACGAGGATGGCTGTGTGTAATTTCAGTCGGTAATTGTAATACACTTTCCAACAAGCCTGGTGGCGTAGCGGTGAGGAAGCGAGGAGTGGCGCGACGCAGTTTACCGCAATTGTCGCACCAATTTGCGACGTGTCCAGTGGAAATTCGTCCGGGAAAATCGCGCGCGTGTGCTACTGCCGACTGAAAATTGTATGCGCGAGGTACGGCCGCCGGAAACAAATGGTAAAAACAGCGAAAGAAAAGTGCTGGCTATGGAGTTAATTAATTATATGTGTCAAAAGAGTATGCGGGATGCAGGATTAAAAAGATACAGTTTTTAGCTACAATTTCTTGTGTTTTTTTTTTATTAGCAGCGCGTTGAGACATTAGTTGAATTGATTAACTCTACCGACCTTAATAAATCACTTCATAATTTTTATATTATAACGTTTTTGAAATTTTAACTTAATTATTATGCTTGAATGTATACTTTCTTCATTAAATATGAATACGATCAAAACACAATGAGTTGTCGACCTCTAATTTCCAGAACTCTAGAACTCAACGTAACGGAAGTTAACTGCATTCTGCGTCATTTTATCGCGTTTCCCACTTTGTGTAGTTCTCGTTTGCATTTTCTCAGATTCGGTTCGTTGCTTTTGTGACTATAACAACACACTTAGAGGGAATAAACTACACAGTATGCTCCTGCAATCCTCGGGGTCTGAAAAATTATTAGTACCTTTAGACATTACGAAAAAGTGCAAAATGCCGGCGTAATCCTTAAAATTCCGAGAGTTTTCGAATTAAAACTAATCACATTTGCTCTCTTACGCCGTTTGCGCCATTTGGGCCAAACTATCCCGCGCGCCTGCATCCTGTATCCCACAGTCAAGAGGATAATGGCGAAGTGGTATACTAGGTAGATAAGGATGAGAATTGCCCAGCGTCGAATCCAGGCCAAATGCCAGCCGTACAGGAACATTTAGTGGCACTAAACACGAAACAGAATTAACGCGTCCTGAAGTCTAATTTAAAATAACGCCAACTCGCGCTGTTTTCCGGAAAGAATCCGAGAAAGAAACTTCTGCCACCGCTATTGAGACAACTATCGGAAGCAAATAATTGTGCAATTATTCACTTTAATTGCATGCTCGTCTGGCAACTTTAAATGAGCAAAACATAATGGTAAGAAATGATAATAAAATGTGCTTTGTAAGCCTTTCAGCGCTTGTAAGTTCGCTTTGATGTCGCTTGACATGCAAATGAATAAATACTCGCGTGCGCATGCAATTTTTAATGCTTTACAACATTTGCTCATTTAAAAAGACCGAAATAAAATAGCAGAAAATTCTTTATGAGGCTGCATTATACAAATTAACAACATCCACCATGGTAGTTCATTGTGCAACTGCGGAACATTAAAAGCTGCCTTTTATGTAGCTTCAGTTTATTTATTTATTTTTATAAAGTGCTGGACAAAGCATGAAAAGCAAACATTTTATTACTATTTAAAAATTTGCGCGCATAAAAAAGTAAAGAATAAACCCTACAAAAAGCTACTATACAAAAATATTGTAATAAATTATTTGACTGATGAATAAATGTTGGCAATACCAATTTATTTAATTAAATTTATCTCAAAGTCGTACTATTATATTACTAATTTTAACTCATTAAAAACGATAGCCATTTTAATGCACAAAATAAAATAATTGGCCGAAATGTAATTAAAACGATCACCAATTTAATTTTATATTCGAATAAACTCGTTTAATTTGAACTGATACATATTATTTTGTGTACAATAATTGTGTATACTTTCGTCATGCTTGATGTCAACAGAAGGTAATTATAACTTGTTTCAAAATGTTTGTTCAAAGCTGGTTTGTCAATAAATTTCTGCCTGATTTGTTTGCGAATGATTATGATTTCATAATTTCAACTATGCGGTAGATACAGTTTGCTCTTTCTATAGCTGTAATATAATTAAACGTATGCAATATAATTTTATTGTCACTAGTTATAAATACATACATATTGATTTCTGAATAGTATTTACACGTGTTGAAATTGTAGATGATTAAATGGTAATTATTGACAGCGGATTAAATAAGAGATACTACGAGTATGCGCGAAGTGAGATCAAAGAGAATCAATTTCAACGCGAATCTAACTGATGCGCAAGTTTTCGGTGCAATTACGTGTCGTTTCCTTCGCATTAAATATTAACTTTTGATAACTTTCCTAATCGTCCGTTAATCTGCGGTAATCGGTATCGCATTAAAACGCATTAAAACATTATGCGTCTCGGGTTTCTCAGCTATTCGGATCAATTTCAGCTTTTAACAAACCACTTTACTTGATTTTACTTTATGTTAGTTTACGTAGTGCTTAATGGTTGGTAGTTAAAAGGTAAAACTAATTAATTAATACACACAAACCTAATTTAACTTATAAAGTTAAAGATTTTTGTTTATGAAAATGTAACAAATTTATATCATCTATAATTTTGTTAAAAATACAAAAATTTAAACTATTACGTTACAAACATTGTATAAATCAATATATTTACGATGCAAAATAGTTTTAAAAACTAAACTAACTTCGAGGTTCCCTAAAAGTCTTGGGAGTTGATTTCCTACGTGCTTCGCAGCATCTGTTTTTCCGCCCGCATCACTTCCGCATGAATTAATGTTTTTAATTTCCTCACCCCGCCCTGCCCATAGAAACTTTCCCCCAATCACGCACTACGCTGAAACCGCAAGCCGCTTGTCGTCAGGAGGGTGGCAAGTAATTACCCATAATTAATACCAGATGCCAAAAGTGCGGGCACAAAAACTGGCGAAAATCGTAAACTCTCTTAGCATATTTTACATCCGACTCCATACAAAGGGCAAGGAAATACGGCAATACAAAACAACTGTTTCGCATCCTGCAAGATCACGCCGCACGAGCCCCATTCGACATTCAGCTTCCGTCGGCTGGCTGTAACTTTGTAGCTTATTGCTTCTTCTATAAACTTCTTTGTCGTGCCGCCTGCACCAACGTCTTAATAAATTTTATCTGTTCCTCGCGTGCGCGGACACGACCAGCAGGAGCAAGAGCAGAAGTTGCACGAGTGCAATAATTTATTTTTTCCTATCTGCAGTTCTGCGGTTTGTGGTGGCAAGTACTTGCATGTGTTGGTGTATTTTGCGGGATCTTCACCCTTCGCCTGCGTTCGCGCGATAGTCCTGAAGGATGGGTCGTTCTGGCCGGCGGACGACCCGTTGAATCGGCTGTTGTTGTTGTGAGTTAGGGCATAATGCCGGGACGACGTTTGCTTTTAATGGCCTTTAAGTTCTTCGAAGTGACGTTCCACTTAATGACCCATCAGGATACGAACTGTGGGATGAGCCAAGATGAGATGCCACGAGTTTGCATTTCTTCGCATACTTTGTACAAATACAAGTTGTGATCGTTTTCCACTAAACTAATTTTTTTCATTTTTAAATTAGTCTACAAATTTTATATTGATATTTATACAAAATTTTGTGTAAAAAATTAGTTGACCTAAAATGACCTTTTGACCTTTAAGTATTTAAAGCAAATAAAACATATTTCCGCAAAACTCTCTATTTTTCTTCATATTGTGGCCAACTACATAAATCATTCGTTAATGATTCGTAACTTTTTCCCTTCGATTTTTTCCCTTCATCGCATTCGACTCTGAGTATCCATTGGGACGATATAAACATCAACAAAGCGCGAAGCGAAAGATTTCCAGCTTTGCACTACGCGCGCAAACTGAGAAAAGATTAGAGCGCAAGAAACGTCGTGGCGAAAAAGTTGGCCATCCTTGGCCGACGTTAGACATAAGTTGTGTGGAAGTTTGTGAATGATCGGAAAGCACTCAACGCGCGCCGATTGAGCGCCGAGGGGATGGAAAACAACATCGAGCAATAATCATGTTGACAAGATTAACTCCACATGTACCAACTCCGAACGTGCGGGATTTCGATACGTGCCTTGTCACTAAAACTTGAGTTTGATGCAAGTCGGGAACTCTCAGTGAAACTTGGCCAACTTCAGAAACTTGAGCAGCCCTAGAGCCCGTCAAGTAGTCAATATAAATGACAATTCGACAATCGAATACCGTTGAACGGATATCGCCGATTGCGGCAATAGTTCATTCAATAAATCGATGATTTTGTGCATTCCAGCACTGGCGAGTTTTGAACATCCGGCGAGAATGCCATTGTTAACAAAGCAGCGCGCGGAACGTCGAACAAGAGATGCAATAACATAAAGTTATGCAATGCCATCCACAAAGTTTCCTTGGTGAACGAAGCGGCTGGGGATTCTTGACCTAGAGTTAAATGTCACCCGGATGGCCAATAATCTCGGTTTATTATACTCTTGTTCCAAGCGACGAAATTATATTGAACAAAACAGAGAAGCAAAAAAGGAAAAAATACGCTTTAAATTTCAATATTTTTTTCCAGGACTAATTAGTTTTAAATTAAGCATAGTGCCCTCCAGCAATACGGGTTCTAGGAAAATTTCAATCAATAATTAAATTTTTATGTTACTTTGTGAAAATTTATTACTTTTATTTTGTTCAAATATTGCTTGAATCAATATTTAACCATTTCTAGTGAAAAAGAGTAGTTCAAAAACAAAACATCATTTTTCCATTTGAGTTCATATTTATCAAAACACTAGACGTTTGCTTTTTTCGAGGACTGGCAGAAAACTCAGGCAGAAACAGTGCAGCGAACGAATAGTAAAAGCCAAGGCAGGCAATCTGAGAAGCAGGGTAATATGTGTCAACACATTTCGCCACTTCTTCAACCTCTTAGTTTCCCATTTCCCATTCTCGTTGATGCTTTCAATGCTCGCGTGCCGCCTGCGCAAAGACAGAAGTTATAGTTTATTTGACTTTCCACTTATTTGCCGCCGTTTTCCGCATGCAATTCCCGCCGAGCCAAAAATAAACCCTACCAGAATAGAAAAAAAAAAAAACGCCTTTATGGCTGGAAAAAAATGGCCGCATTTACATTTTCACATACCACAACTCACATTTTTACGTTTTCACATCTAGACAATTGCCGCCGGATGAGAGCCAAGTCTCATTTTTATCTTGCTCACAGCCAGCTTCATAGATGCAGACTCTTGACATTGTTTTTGCTTGATTATCTTGTTATCAGCGGAATTAAACGTAGAGTGCTTTACCTGCAGAACGCTCCGCTGGATTTGATTGCGATTGCAAACGACGCGACTCAAGCGCAAGCTGGATAAAGTACATTAACCGAGAGAGATAAATTTCTAGTCGCGTTATTTTTCTTAATCGAACAAAGAGCCATTCATGTCGGAGGCGCTCCTTATCGACATCGCGTACGTCAACTGTGCGCTCTGCACTGAGCAGGTAAATGGAACGCCGTCTAGGCATTTAAACATTTCTGGAGACCGAACGGAAAATACGAGCGTTTGTTTGCATTGTCTACTTTTACCGCAGAGCAAAGTTGAAAAGAAAACTAACAATGCGCATGAATATATTTTGCGTTGTCAGGTAGAAATTAATTTCATTATTTGAGAATCATAATATTTTTTCATTCATAATTTATATTTTAATTTCAAAAGAAAATTTGCTTTTTGCTAGAAACAATATATGCTGCAATACAAAGAATCATAGGCGCTAATCCTAGCTTTGTAAACCGTTTGCCAAACTAAGTGTGTACCAATAACACGGTTTCAATTATTCGCTTTTGTGCAGAGGGCGATGCGGTGCGTCAATGCATCAGGGTGACGAATGCGCACCAAAATGTATATCGATACGCATGTCGCATACAATTTTCAATATGCGCCCGCGTGAATGCGAAAATGTATAGATACATGTACAGATTCCGAATATGTCACAATAAGCTAGATGCTTTTGTGTCACCATGCGCTCGAGCGTGGATTGAGTGCCCAGGCGATGGTGAATGCGCCGGGAATGGGCAATACGTGGTGCACATAATGAGAGCGCAGCGCGGCATTAATAAATAAACATGTTGCAATAATTTTCAGCGACACTCTCGCGCGTGCTGTTGTTGTTTTATTTTTGAAGTCATAAATCCGCAAACACGCTGCTGTCGAAATGCACACGTCCAACGCGCAATGTGTCTATCGATTACGGTTTTAATTGCTTCCAATATTTATTCGTTCGACGCGTTAGCATAATGGATTTAACTGTTTTTGTCTCTATTTTTAATCAAGTCACGTTTATTGGCATAGATATATTTTTTTTGACGTCTGTATATGTTAATTGTGAAATGTTTTTTTTAAACTTACCTTGTAACGTTGATGGAAGGATCAATTCCGCAATTAGCAATAGAAACAGCATGGTTGACAAGTAATAACGATGAATAGTAATTGTTAAATAGCGTAATTTTTAAATTTGTTAAATTTTATGTTTTGATTCGTTACAAATCAAAACTTTATGTGGATGACTTGAAGAAAATCCAAATCGTTGCTTTCTCATTATTATCTGCAACAGAATAAAATATTATGGTTAATAGCGTAATTAAGCTTATAATTTTTAATTTTCTGCTCAATTTTGTTTGATTCTTAGTGTGCAAGATGCCGGACGAATGCACATGTGTCCGGACCTAGACAATGCATATACGCCCGTGTGAATTATGAGCATTTGTTTGCGATAAATTCAGCCAGCGTGTTTCTGGCTAAGCCGCCACCATGCCACCGCCAACGTCACCGCCGAAGGAGGGCGAGATTTGGCATCGTTCGCTTCGGTTCCGGGCCCCAAAACGCGCGCGTTCCGCCATCGCATCCTGCCTGCCCGCCACCACTGCCGCCGCCAGTGTTGTTTGACTCCGATGTTCATTAAAAGTTAACAAACAGGACGCTCGACGCTTGGATGCTCCGCCAACCATCCCCCCTCGCGCCAGCAGTTGATAACAAACGTTTTCTCGCTGCCAGAGCTCCCCGAACCGGCAATGCTACCAAAATGTTGATATCGGAAAATGTGAATTTACCAAATTTTAAACTTTACAATACAAACATTACTCTTGTTGTGAACGCCTTGTAAATTGTCAAATATTATATTATCTCAAACGCGCCGTCTCGATTACTTCCGACCAGACATTAAAAGTGCGTCTGCAGATGTTTGCTTGAGCGAAGAAACGTTAATTGAAAATAAAATTTTACTTTCGTGTTTTTCGGTTGTCGGTCTTGCGCCAACAAAGTGCTCGGTCTTCGTTTGCAGCGAAGTCACTTTGAGGTGAATTCGTCTGGAAGGGCTTTTCTCCAGCTCTTCGACTAAGATTTGCATGTTTACATTAGTTGCTTTCAGACAGACTCGCTTAAAACAAAGCGTAGTTTAATTACGAGGCTCGTCATTAACACGGCCTAAGACTCACGACTCGCCAACTTTCGGCCAGACTTTGGAAAAAGAATTAATTAGTTTTAATATTTATAAGGCTGTTGAAAATTGCTTTATGTCAAAAGTGGACTAAAATGCTTTCAGGAAGACTATTATTAAAAGTATGTATCATTATATTTTAGATTAGTTTAAATTATGTTCTTTTTATGAAGGTGTTATTGAATTAATAAAGCATATTAGCTTTAAAGCATAAGTAGAGTGTGTCTATGAATATTTTATCGTCCTGTTTATAAGCAAGAATATTTGTCAATTTTTTTTCTTAAAAAGAATTATTATTTAAATTATTTACACATATATTATCATTTGATATTTTTGTTTAAAACATATTTTCAAAAATGTTTACAATGTAAAACAATTATGTTCGATTTCAAGTTGATCGATAGTATTGTTGCGATTGGCAGATAAATAAACAATAAATGAAACAATACTCAATTTGACTTTTATTTACGTTGTATTATTTACTCTAACTCAAGTTTTTTGTTGTTAATCCCCAAATTGAATCCAAAAATATAAAAAGAAACAAATTATTCATTATGCCTTGAAAATTCAGTTAAACGTAGTTAATTTTAACCAAAGGATATTTTTGTCTTTGTCAGAGTTACAGCGAACCTGTACTTGAGTCGGGTCTAATCAATTCAATATTAATTCCGCACGTAATCAACTAATTCATAATTCACGAGGCGAAGAAGCTCCGCCGACGCCAACGCCTTCGTATTAATTACACAATATCCTCGTGAGTCACGTTAGGCGAGACAAGTGCGATATTGCATTGCATATTCAATTAAATAACTGAAGATGTGCTTCGAGGAAGACGTATCAAAGATATTTGCTGTGCGCATTAACGCTCCATCCGCGCGCGTTAACTTAAACACAATTAACATTAGCATTACCATTAGCTTCAATAGTGGTAGTGGCGGAATGCGCGAAATAAAAGCCGGATGCATGCGTCTAGCTGAAGGTAATTCGATTATACGAGTGCATGTTATGATCGTGTCGACATAAGGAATAATATTCATGAGATACGGCGACGCCACGTCAGGTCGTGTCTCTGCGGTACCGTAAAAGGGTAGGAAATTTGCATGAAATTTTTACGGTTCCGTAAACGTACGGATTATCTGCTTTAATGATGCGTATTTTCCAAATTGCAAAGCTACATTATCCACTGCGTATCATTCATACATTTTTATAGACTCAATATTAAATATTAAAAAAACATTTTTTGCAAAATTTTGATTTTTTATAATTTCACTTATTTTGTTCGTGTAAATATATTGTAACATCTTAATAACAGAAAAATACTCTAAATACTCTTTTAATGTTGTGGTCAAATTATCATAGACTAAAAATAATAATTAAAATACAACCAAGAATAGTAAATACTGGATTTAACATGAAGAAAATAATCGCGTTCCTCTTGGAGCGGTGCCCCCCAGAGAGGATGCAAAGAGCAGTCGATGGAAGCATTCGTGCTAGGAGCTCCAGCTCCCCGAACAAATTAGCATCCATAAATTTATTAATATTACTCTTTCTTGTTGGCTCTTTTTGTGTTGCAGCTTTTTTATTCGCATTCACTTTTCGTACATCGTCCTTTCGCGCATTTCTATGGTGGCGGAGTTTCTTTTTTTAGAAGCATTTTTTGTGTACGCTTTTTTGTTTTATTTAATTTGCGCGTACCATGCCGAACCATCGCAGTTATGGTTATAATTCATTTTTATCGTTTTCATTGTTACCTTTGCTTTTATTTTATTATATAAATTTGCTTTTCTGCTTGCTACATTTGATGTTTTCTATTATTTAGACTTACTGAATCAAAATAATTGCATTAATTAGGACAACGCTTTTCTTTAATTAATGTATTTCTTTATAATAAGAAATAAAGAGATATACTGAATGTGAAATTTCACGAATATTGCACTTTGTATTTTTATGGTGCGAAATAAATTATTAAACAGGTATATTCGTATGCAAGCAAAGAATAATACTCCAGAACAAAAAAGTATTAATTAACTAATTGTGTAAATATTTACGGCGCTGTGCTCATTAACAATATTATAGTAATTTACAATTAGCATTTTCTTTGTGCAGTGTTGTGATGCATAGTAGTCACTGACGCTGTCGCCGCCTCCGGAGCGCGACGTTTTCGCTAATTTCGCAATTTTAATGTCGTCGCACGGCATGCTGGCACGCGATATCGCTTGAATTAACCGAAACTGAAGCTCTCCATCAGTGTAGTTCTCTGCGTTTGCAGAACTAACGCTCACAACGAACAGGATTTTGATTTCACGCATGCTGCGCTTTGCATGCACTTTCGAAGTCCGGAAGAGAAATATTTGACGAGAAAATTAATTTTCAACTTTAGCAACGTAACAAACAATATTACGAACAACCAATTTTCAGTCTAAGTGACTACATATATTACTTTTCCTGGTGTTTTTCAAATGTTTTCGTGTAAATGCATGGTAAGATTAATAAATTCAGAGTTATAGGTCAGTTCTTAAAAAAAAATTAAAGAAATTTACATGTTTTATAAAGTTGTGACCTTGTTAATGAATAATCCAATCAGTTTTAATTTCAACTTTTCTAAATTCATTTCCTAAATTGTGCAAAAAAAATAAAACCAAAATTAATAATAAATTTTTTAACACACTATTCAAATCGGCGAACCACTAAATATATTTTTTTTCAATTTGAGAAACATTTTTAAAGCAATTTAATTACTTGTATTCAATTGTTTATTTAGTTCAGTTTGATTTGGTCTCAAATATTGCAGTAAAACATATTAATATAAATTCCTTTAACAATAAAATCTAAAAATCAAATTCCATTATTCTGTTTGTATCTGGATCAAATATAAAATTTAGGTGCGAGTAGAATGTAAGTAAGAACATATCTACGTGTTGAGTAACAAGTAAGTCTACGAGTAGTTCATTTTTCTTTTTCGTGGTACTTCGCTCACTTTCATTTCGTGCGCCATCCTAGAATAGCGTAGGCTTTCGTGGCAATCGCTCTGCGTGATGTTTGCGCTTCCATCTTGTTTGTTTGTTTGTTGCCGGCGCGTCTCCAGACAGACATCAGCGTGAAGCGGCCACTTAAAAATACATTTGCGTGCGCGTCTAAGTTGCCCGAAGACGCGATAGAGATATATTTCACTCGACGGAATATTAAATATTTTCCTTTGGCCACTATCCACTGCGTTCCTGTCTGGTGCTATGTTTGAGCCAAAGATCTACATGTTTGAAAACAAACGATTCTCTAAACTCGGGCGATAATTAAATATTTATAAATAAATGGAATAGCTTAGCAACAGAATAGTCATAATGAAAGCAGAATGATTTAGACAGATGATATATTTAAAATTTAATACATTTTAGAATTCACAAAAGATTATTTTAAATTTAAACAGCATAGATTTACACAAAGTCTATTCTTCCCAAAGTGATCCCCTTTATTGCGGTGTTACTTTCCATGCAAGTTCAACTATTTTTAGACTAGCTCATCTCATGCGCCGTCTTAAAATATTTCTCCTAAAGCTCTGAAACGCTTCCACAAAGAAAGGCAAAATCTTCTTTGTTTGTAAACCTGCACAGACTTGAAAATTCCGTGCAATAAAGCTCACACAATTCCTTTGATTTTTTCAAAGACGGTCCTGTGTGTTCACCGGGAGCACGTCGAGAATGTGTGACGTGCCGAATGCGTGCTGCACGTCGCGGGGCTTTAACGACTTCGCGACGTTAGCGTTAGCGCAACGCTAATAAAATACCAAACGACCGACTGCAGAACAGCGAAAGAACGGAAGATGCCCCAACATCACGGGGATCACGAGCATGAAGTAATGAAATCGAAGTTAGTTTGACAGCACAACAAACCAAAAAAACAAGGAAAAACGCAAGTAGAAACAGGAAAACAAGCGAATTCAAGAATGATTCAAAAACACATTTGTGTGAAGAGTTTTTCGCATGTTTTTTTTTTTCGACGGTCGAGTGAAAATGGGAGGATAATCTTATTTCAAAGATCAACAGATCGACACAACCGAAAACAGAGCGAGAAACTTTCGTGGAGATAGGTATAGTAAACAGATGACGTCAATGGATATATCAATTTCTATGTAAATAATAAAAGTAATTTAGTAGACCAATTAATTGTTTTGATACGTTTAAAATATGTTTTCACCATATGTTTTAATCTATATTTAATAAAAAGCAAAACGTGTAATATTTGTATTTTATATTTGTACACTAATTAAATTTGCAGTTGGCCTGCAGTTACTAAAAGCCGCATAGTTTAAAAAAGTTCAATTTATTATGATGTTAAATAAAATGCTTCAGTGTTCCCCGCCGGTCTAATTTATTATTAACTACAACCAAAATGAAAACGCGTGAATTTATCGGCCGTGTTTTATTTCACCGAACTGTGTCGCAACTGCAACCAATTGCATAAAATTGTCTGCCGATTGCGACCCAGCCCAATGTGTAAGTAAAAAGTGCGGAATAATTTGAAAAATTGCGCGAAAAAATGCGAAAAATGCATGTTATTCAACTCACACAAGCGACAACTAATCTATCAATGTTGTGCACACCCTCTGACAATACGACCAGGCCCTCATTGCGCTAAAATGCCACAACACCGTAATTACGATTATACGACAACGATTTAAACAATGCCGTAAATTTAACCGCTGACGGGCTCGGCTGGCGAGTCAAAATTGTCAGGATTCGAAAAAACACCCGGCCGCAACGAGTGTGCAATGATGCCGTGGACCGGCCGCCATTGGATACATACGTGCAACGCATAAATAGTGGTCGACGGAGGCGGCAGCATTCGAGTTGCGCTGCAGGATTTATTTTATCTCGTTGGGACGATCGCGATGCGTCGTAAATCGCGGCTATCGACATTGTGCGTAGTTATCCGGCGTGAGCATCAAATCAGGATGTGGTAACCAAACAAAACATTCTGATACTTTTTAATAACTAGAATTACTAAAAATTATTATTTAAATCAAATTACTTACTTGAAAAAACAGAGATCAAAACTTCACAAAAATCCTTGTATCACTTCTTATCTACCATACTTTTATAACAAATATTTTTATATTAATATTTTAAATTATTATTTATAACATTTATAATTATAACGATTAAACACTGTTGATATTGTAAGTGAGTTTATTAACAATTGCTACTTTTGTTTAGCAGGTTCTTAATTCGTGTGATTACACTGGTTGGCGCGTGATTGTAAGTTAGCGGCGTCGCGACGCGTCGATGCTGTGGTGTCGGCGGTTCGCGGCGAACTTGGCGGATCGGATGCACGGCCGCCAGCATCCCATCCGTTCGCCCGACTCGGCGTGATCATGCGCTTCTTCTCCGGAGAGCGCGCTCCCTGCGTTCCCGTGTGTTCAACATGCACCCGCATTTCGGGAAATGAGAATCTGGATTTCCTTTTCATGCATAGCACCATTCAATGTATTTTTTTCAATTGAATATTCAGAATATTGCCTTTTAGTAATACGAACATAAATTATTTACTTCCATATATGTTTTATTGCACTATATTTTATCAAATTATTATTTATTTTGTTATTACTCAAAATGCTTTCCAAAATGCCGTAATTTACCCTTTCATTAATATAGTAAGGTTAATTGATTGGTAATGTAAATTAACCGCACAGAACTTGTGTTTGAGTTGCGGTACAACTTCTGAATTTGCAACGTTTTTTGCATCGTTTCATTAGAACTGTCCAGTTTTTATTTTTTATTTTGCATTTCTTGGTATATATAATCCATATCAACGCTTTCTTACCCTTTACTCCCGTAAAAAAAGTTAAATTTTCATTTAAAATCTAAGGTTTCTCAAACTTTTTTCAGCATTTTATTGACTACTTAAGAGTAGTTAATATAGAAGAATTTAATAGTGATTTAACGTAAAATCAATTCCTATCTATACTTTTGGTGTCGGCGGTCGTCCTTGCATGCTTTGTGAGAGCTTGAAGGACTTTGCTATGCGATCGGATCTCCAGCTCGCCATCATGGGAAATTAATCGAGTGAGAGCTCGCCGTACGCGTCGGGAAATTGAAGCGATTCATTCGTCGTTTGCGTTCGTTCCGCACGTTTCAGTTTGTTTATTTACCAGCCGAACACGTCGCAATTGCATATTCGCTATGAATGATCCGTGTAGTTAGTTATTAAATATAATTAAAAAATGCTTTCAGATTTATCTTTCACCCACGTAAAAAAAAAACGTTTTTGCAAAAAATATTCTCTTGGCTTATATATATTTTTTTATTTTCTCATTTTCATTAGTCCGTTTCAGAGAAAGGTTAATTTAGATTAATTGAACAATTTTTTTCTTGCGTGTGTATCTAAAAACAGCTCAAGAAGTGAAGGCGTTTAATAAAGACCTGCTCGCGTCCGTTACGCCAGGCTAAAATAAGGCATAAGCAAACACGCTTTCTTCTTTTACATCAACTTCAGTTTGAGCTTTAGCTGAAGTTGAAGCTTTTTAACTGGTGCTTCAAGATGCCGTCGGAAAGATTGTAGTTGATGCTACGCAGAGACAAGACATGCTCGTCACGAAATTAAAATAGTAACGATTAAAGCTACATAAAAGTGATTTAAATATCAGAGCCGGAACGGTGTGCAGAGCGAAATCAGAAAAGGGGGCGCGTTCACGTGGAACGACTCGCAACGGACGATCTGTCCGGGTGGATGATTAAAGAGTCTAGATGAGCTTGTGGTTCACCTCTAGACACGAAAAAAATTATCATGAAAAAGTAAGAAAAACGTGAATAATTTACTGAACTTGGAAAGAAAAACACAATGTTTTCAAACAAGATATCAGCTAATAAACAAAATAAATATATACTTTACCGTTGCATTCAATGTTTCATATTAAAAAAAAACATTTTAAAATCACATAATAAACTATAAATTTTTATTCAAAAAACGATGAAATTTTCTACTAAAACATTTTGTTTGTTGAAAATAATCATTATATCGGTCATTATACTGACATAGAATTGAAATCATGTTTGAATTTATTCGAAAATAACACCAAACTGTTTTAAATATTCTTGATGAATGTATATGTGCGACCCATTTTCGACAACGAGAAAAGCATGTTAATTAATTAATCATTTCATCTGCACGCAATGTTTCCCTGTTCGCACCCCGCATTTGAGCGTGCTCGCACCGAGTAAAATCGCAAAACGACCGAATCTAATTCATTAATTTCTGTCGTTTAATTTAATATATTATCGCTTCCCGGTACGTCGCGCCGCCGCCTTCGTTTTGTCCTTTTGTCTCGTGAGCATGTCGGCAGGCAGCGTTCCATCATTCAATCTTATTTACCAAAATCACGCCGTGAAATGTTCTTGAGATTGTGTCCGAAGCGGCGTGTTGGTATGCTTTGATTCCACTGATGAATTCATCAAATTACAGTCAAGAATTGATTTTTTCCAACCCCAAAAAATAATTAGGTAATGAAATAAAACGACATTTTGTAAAAATACACAATTTAATGATTTGCAACATCATTTATCTTTCAAATGACACTTGAAGAGTAATATTTCTATTGAGTCAACGTCACATTTTATATTTTTGTATAAGAGCACTTAACATTCTTAGCATCTGTTCGAGTTTTAAAATGTAGACCATTTTTCGCGAGCGAGTATTTACATCGATTTCTCGCCATCTTCACACAGGCGAGGCGTCAAGTTGCGCACGCCTTGCTAATGACATCCAGTTCAATTTCATCAACTTCTTCTCGCGCAGACAGCCGCCGGGAATACGTTCCATTAATGCGAACGTTAATGCAACTTGCTTTTTGGCCCGGTTGTTGTCTTTTTTTGCATTACGCTCGTCTTCAGCATTTTAGCTCTTTAGTTACATGAACACTACAAGCGCGCCAGAAGCACGCGTCTGTTGATAATGCATACTTCAAAAAATGTATAAGACAACAAAAAAATGTCTGCCAACGTCGAGCATTATTTTATGTGACAACAATCAATATAGTTTAGTATCATCTTAACATGTTTTAAACTAAAGCAACAATGAAAATTTTTGAAAAGCGATTTTATCTTGCATAATATTAGATGAATTTTTACATTTTTAGAAGATTTATTAATAGATCACCGCACTTGAATGAAGATATTTAATTGAAAGTCGTTATCATCATTTATTTCTCATTTTTCAAGTGCAGCTTGAAAGCGTTTTGGAACTCGATTTAACAACGCATTGAAACACTTGTATTAATGAATATTTCGTGCGCGGAATTTTTCATACTTGTCGATAATTTGGTTGATGAGAATTTGCAGTGCTGTGAATCGTGTAAAATCGAATGAAAGTCAAATGCAAGCGGGCGAAAAGCGAATGATTGTAAATGAAAGCGATGACCATTTACGCGTCGCGATCGCCCACGGACTGTTTGGCTCGCCGACTGATTGACGCTCGCCGCCCCCCTGTCACCGCGCATCCACCAACCGATTGGACTCGATCACAAGGGAGTTTCATATTAACAAGCGCTCGTCGGCACGAGTTCGAATTCGTTCGCATTGCACGATTCCCTTGCGATCTGCTTCGACTGCCGCCGGTGATCGAACCCGATCGAAACCCAAACGACGTGATCGCATTGACACCAAACGCCGCGTTGAAATTTGAATACGAGAATGCGATACTCTCTTAGGTACTTCACAGCTGTTTAAAGACCTTTAACGGCGGAGTCAATAAGTTTTGCTGTTGTTTGAAGCGTTCTAATTAACAACTCAAACACTCCGACTATTAATTAGTACATGCCTCAGAGTATTTTGATTAAAAACAACAAAAACAAATCTAAATCGTGGAATATTTGGTTTGTATATCAAAATAAAGTCGAACAGAATTTGTAAAAAAATCATTCCAATTTATTATGTTTGCTTATTCATGCAGAAATTGTTCTCGGTATGTTTGCTGCGAGTGAAATTCCAGAAATTGAAACGAAACGTCGAGAAATTGGACTGCTTTCTGAGCAGAAATGCTTGCCGTTGGAAGCACAAGTGTGAAAATAATCTCATATTTGCAAAACGGGCGAAGCCGAATGCATCTATCTGGATAAAAGTGTGCAGCAAGGCACGAACAGCAGGAAAACTCAGCAGCGTGCGCCAAAATCGCGTCCGGACACAAAGAAACAAAGGCAACAAACTGTGAACAACACGACCGCTCGACGCGTGTTTATATCGATAGCTGGTGCTTATTTTCTTGATTTTGCAGATTATACAGCGATATCAGCAGGCGCCGGATACGAAAGCCACAAAAACAGCGAGTCGAAAAGCAAATGGTAAAATTCGAATCGATAAAGACATCCATTTCAGATAAACACATGTTTATCTGGTTTTATCACACTAAGCTAAGCAATTTTAATAATGTTATCTTTGTTTAATATTCTTGAGGTATTTGAAGCATTTATTTCGGATTTTTCTGTTTTTTCTTTGCTGTATTGGAACATGGAATTTTTCAGAATAACAAATGCGATAAGACGAATTCCAATTATAAAATTGATCGATTGATCGCCTTCGCGGGAAGGATGCGCGCATAGTTGAGGCCATAAATACGGCATCCGATTTTGGGGGCCATGAGCCAGTGGCAGCAGAGAGCCGTTTATGGTCGTGCGTATACGTTTTGCCTGCCGCATCCATTCTGGAAGAACGAGCCAGTCGCGGTTTCTTAGCGGGAAACATGCGGGGAAGCGATGGAAAACCGGGAAATGGGACTATAAATAAAGAGCTTCTTATTCCCTTCATTCCCCGCAAACCTTAAGCAACCACTGCTCGAACGGAATCTGGACTGTTTCGAAAATGAGAGCCACAATCAGGAAGTCTTTGCACAGCTGCAATAACATAGATTTTTTTGGTTTTATTTTTAATTTCATATTTTATCCTCGGCGGTTGTTTCCAAATTATCATTGTAAATTCGAGCGTTTAATCCTTTGACGTTGAAATTCCGGCAATCGAAAACTTCATTAAGTGTGCATTAAAACTACAATTACAATCGAGCATAATGTTTTCTTAATTACGACAAGCTTTACGCCGCTCGCCGAAGTTCAGCACGCGCAATTTCGCCGACAGTATTCTTATCGCCTCGTGGCAGACGTCTGTTCGTCGCGCGACTGTTTTCTTTTCATTATCGCCGAGGCGCCCACATTATGCTGTCGCAGAAAAGACTAAGCGCGAAAAGTGCAAAAGGCTTTATTCATGCCGAGCCGAGGAAGACGTTCACGTATTCGCTTTTCGGTGTTTCATTGTCAGGCTCGTCCTTCACCGCTCTACACTGCTCTGTATTCATTGGACGATGACGATAACAGATTATTATGATGATAATTAACTGCGAAATCTTCTGCTAGCGGGTAAAAGTTTGCTTCATCCCGCAAATTGCGGTCGACGGCTGTTTTAAATTATTGGCGCAAAGCGATTGAAGCGCTTGACTTGGCGTTGAGTAAACAAAAGTTTCGGTTGGGAATCAAGCGCGTATGCGTTGTTTTCGTCGCTTTTGTCAGTGTTGTGCTTTTTGTTGCGCGCGGCGCAAACGGAAACGTT